GATGAGTAAAATTTTTCACTGTTGAGTGGCCCATCTTTAAAGGGTATGGTCTGTGCCGGTATATGTAACATCTCTGGTCTCTTTTATCTAAGATCTAAACTGATTAGTACCTATGTCAAAAGAAAGGTGTTAGTCAAAAAATGCGTTATTGATCTAAAAACTTGTTAAGTCTTTAGATTAATAACAATAAAACTTAGTTTTAAACAGATAAATTAATTAGTAATAAACAAATAATGTCTTAGCCTAGTTACAAAAATTTTAATATTAAAGTTCACTTTAGCATAATTGGTTAGGATTCTTTAAAATTTAATCAGGTCAAGTATTATTTTCTTTGATCACCTTTTATTTTAAGTTCTGTATAATAATTAAAATTAACAGAATTTACTGTAGAATAGAATTCATTCTTATTTATCTTTTTATTAATGATCTTTATTTCTAGGCCTTTTAAAAGAAGATATTCATCAGTTTGAGAGCTCAAAAGATTTACTTGTTTTTCAAATTTGTGCAGAGGTACCTTATTGGACGTGATGTTCCAGCGATGTGATGTCTCAGCTTAGTCTGATATTATTGTGGAAATAATATAATTCAGCACTTGAAGTTTTAAGCGGCGATTTTCAAAAAATCGACAGCAGATTTTCTGCTGTCATCACAACTCCAATATCAAGAAGAAAAATAACAGATAATACAGGAATCTTTCTTATCGACTTTACGATAACACTTTTTTAATGTTTATTGTACAACAGATAATGAGAGACTGTCTTCTATTTTCGCGGAAATTGCTTATGCTTTTAATAAAGTTTGATGTCACAGCCTACTTAGACGTGAATTTCACTGATTTTTCCTTCAAAATCTATGTACGAGGATGATTTATTATTTTTTTATAAATGATGTTTATTTTAGTCATTTTCACTAAATACATAGTTTTAATTGTAACAATTATAATTTACATTATTTACAAAGATTACCTAGCTTTTTCTTAAATTAAAGCTTTTATATACAAACTTTTGTAAAATGTTTCATAAAATTATTGACCTACAAATTACTTTATTTTTTTACTTTTTTTAATGATATTTAGTTATTTTGAGATTCTAAATATTTGAAGACTCTTCTAGAAATCATATTTAATATTATGTATGCATTAAATCTCATTTACATGTTTTAAAATTAAATATTTTTTTAGGATCGGAGGTAGAGTCTGCACTGACATCTTAATGTGTATCCAGCTATTGGGACTGGACTTCCCAAAGTGTGGATTGTGTCAGTAACTAATCACAAGACTCCAGTCTAAAAGTTTTCAGTAAAATTTTTCTCAAAAAAACTTTGTTAATGATATAAAATTGCATGTAAAGTCAAATTTGCTATGTTGATACTCCAAATCTGTAAGTATTATTAGTTCGTATTAATTTACAATTCATCGTACACTCTTATGAACTTATTGTGCTTTCTTAGCTTAAAATTAGATCTTTTTAATATTATTTACACAAGTTATATATATGAATAAATTATTGAAAACATTAATTAAAAATCTCAATTTACTAGTATTGTAGGTACCTTGTACATTTTTAGACTATATAGTGTATTTCAACAAAAGTATTGTCCGTTACGATATATATTTATCTAAATATTAGTCATGATTCTTGTGAGATTAATAATACGGACTTAACAGATATTCAAAATACTACACTTTATTAGTAAATTTTTAAGGACCGGTTCCACCGTTGTGTTAAACGGAGATTAAAATGACATTTTTAATGTAAAAATGTCATTTTAAATTTCGTTTAACACAACGGTGGAATCGGTCCTAACGAAAATAAAATACGTTTTACAAACTGAAAATAATAGAGGTTCCAATTACTTGTTTAATTTAACCTAAGCCCGATAAAATATAAATTTTCAAAATTTAATTACCCCAATTATACTTTTTTAAATAATATTATTCTCCATTCAGAAGATAACATTTGACCCAGTGTTATTTAACAAAATATTAGTATGCTTAAAATATTTACCATTCCTTATGAAACTTATGCTCATTTTTCATATATCTTAGTTCCATTCCTTGCCGCGGTATGAAGTCTAGCGCTGGCCATATAGAGACAAACACACCGCTTCGAGAAGCTGTCGGAGTGATCCCTTTGGAAAGCTGAGTGTTCTAGTACACAGCTGGCTTTATATAAATAGCGCAAGTTTGTCGACGGACGATAAGATTCAATGTAAGTGTTGGATAGAATAGATAAATTGTAATAAATAAATTAGAATTGAGAGTTATAATAGTGCCTAATTATTATATAAATTAATTAGTACGTTATAAATAAATTGTAAATAAAGTGTTTTAAATAAATAAACTATAAATAAACTATAAATAAATTAAACAAACGTCTTACACTGTTGCCAAGTCGCACAAAAGTTTATTATTACAATTATTTAGTACCAAAAGTAAAGCATTTCATTTGTAATAAATGTCTTTGCCTCAACAATATTTTATACTATTATAATTATTGACATATTGACCCATAAAGCATCCCTATTCGTAAAATTGATAAAATGAATGGAACAAAATTGAGTATTTATTTCGACGCTCTCGACTCTACCAAGTACCGCTCGTCGGAGGATCCACAAAAAATTGATTGTCGAATACGTATGACACTGACGAGAATATCGAAAGGTTGTATAAACTTGGCAAGTCGCGCCAACAACCAGCTTATTTCGTTAGATTTGTATGGACACGACACTGGCTGGTTTTTGGCGCGGTTCAGGCGCGACTCGTTTTATTTACACCCACCTTTTTTTTAATTTGGTGTCATTGGCATCGACTAGGTACTATGGCCATTAGCCTCGTGTTCTGTGTAGGCTTTGTTACTGTTTCCCAGCGTCACTTTAGGAACAGCACTGTTAATTAGAACCCAACAGTTAATGGTCGAGTGGGGAATCCTACTACCAAGGCATCAGAATTAATTATTGTTCATTTTCTTTTATTTTCACAGAATAAAAATAAACAATTTATTGAGTAGTTTTTTTCCTGTCTCTATTATATCGATAATTTATTTATGCCTAGTATATTGTTTATTGTTACTCGTAATCAATCTTATTGCATAATTGTAACTATTGGTATGAAAACATTATTTTAACTCACTTTAAAAGTATCGTGGGGTTACTGCAAAAATAAGATACCTATTATAACTCCACTTTTGACATTTTCGAGTTAATACACTTTAGTCTCAAAAATGGTTCAAATAATATACAGCATAAACAAGACTAGTGGAACGAAGTCTATATTATTAATGAAAAACAGATGGCCAATAAAAACAACTCCATATGCACAAACAAGATGAGTGACATTTATACCGAAACATACCTAATCATAACATGTTTAATTGCTAATCGTTTGTCCACATAAGAGACATAACTTATTTTGCTGAATGTATTTAATCTGATTCCTGATAGTATACATAAGGTGTTTTTTAAACATGCGGCAAAATTCAAGGGGTTGCTCCTTGGAATATTCTAAGACTATTTTCTCACTAGTAGTTGTGATCGGACAGAATTAAACAATGGTCCATAAATACTGCCAAACGATTGGTTAAGAGGAAATCATTCAAAAAAGATGTAAGAATATTCTTGAGTCAACAAAAGTATAAATACATAAACAACACTAAAAAACATTTAAAAACAAATGTCCGATTTTGAGATTATATATATTATCTAAATTTCTCAAAAATATATTGGATGGAAGATGGCCATAATTCGTGAAATGCAATACTGGTGCCATCTAGCAACAGATAGTCACACTATCGAGTTGCACATATTACTTGTAGAGGCCGAAACTTGATTTTAAATTAACGCACTTTTCTCTCACGCTCATGGAGAAACGATTATTACTCACGTTCAGGCCTCGCAACGAAATCGAGACAGGCGTAACAAAAAAGTTACAAAAAATGAGCCGGGCCCGGGCTGGTGTCGCTACAAATATCCGCTAAGCTAGCGGATCCGCGCTTTTCTCAGGTTCAGTACTGTTAAGATACCACGTTCTTTTTATTTCTATATTACTCGTGACTAGTGATTATACTAATTACAATCACAGTTATACAAGTACAAGCTACAAAAGGGAGACTAGCGTAACAAAAAAGCTACAAAAAAGTTACGAAAAACCAGCTGGGTCTGAATCTGTGCCGCTATACTATGGAATTTATGGAAATTCAAGCTAGCGGATCCGCTGTTTTTTCGGACCTGGGGTAGTATTCTCGAGTCACGAATATAGATTCGCATGCGAGATTTATGATTTGTCTCACTTGGTTTTCGTTCAACAAAGTGAGACAAATTGTAAAACACGTATGCGAATGTCGGTATTCGTGATTTGAGAATACTACCCCTGGGTTAAGCTACAAATTTCCAAATAGTGTAACAAAAAAGCTACAAAAAACCCGCCAGGTCTTGAATGGTGCCGCCACAGAGTGCCCGCTAGCTTGATATAGCTGAGAAACGATTATTACTCACGTTCAGGCCTCGCAACGAAATCGAGACAGGCGTAACAAAAAAGCTACAAAAAAGTTACGAAAAACCAGCTGGGTCTGAATCTGTGCCGCTACTATGGAATTTATGGAAATTCAAGCTAGCGGATCCGCTGTTTTTTCGGACCTGGGCTAAGCTACAAATTTGCAAATAGTGTAACAAAAAAGCTACAAAAAACACGCCAGGGGTAGTATTGGGTAGTATTCTCGAGTCACCAATATAGATTCGCATGCGAGATTTATGATTTGTCTCACTTGGTTTTCGTTCAACAAAGTGAGACACGAATGCGAATGTCGGTATTCGTGATTCGAGAATACTACCCCAGGTCTTAAATGGTGCCGCCACAGAGTGCCCGCTAGCTTGATATAGCTCCTGATATATCACAAATTATAACTTCCTTCCTATCCTAACTGCTGCATTGTAATGGAAGAGACGTGATGTGCGATGTGTCTGTCAGTTTTAAGACTGTCAATGTCAATAGTGTCAATCGTCACTTGTCAACCTGTCATCCCAAAAAATGAAAATTATTTTTTGCAAGTGTCAAGTTATCTGGAAGTTATTTTTATATTGACATTTTATAAAATATACTTCGTAATATATTACTACTGTTATTTTCTTCTGAGTTCCGTTTACCAAATAAATACAAGAATATTTAAAAAATGGAGGAAGCAGCGGATTGTTTGGATGCAAAGGTAAATACTACTTAATTCGTGAACCCGAATCTTTTTTTAGTCTATACAACAGATGAACATGCCATAATTATTAGTTTACTCACTTTAAAACCACGTTAAAAAAATACATTTACATTTACCTCGGAGGCATGAATACAAAGACAACATTTTGGAAGCTTAAGTGAAGTCTTACTCATTCCAATATTGTTTTTATGTTTTCAATAACATATAGTCTTGAACTCCATGGTCTTGAAAATATTTAAAGAATTCATAGCTTAGTTAGATTAGTATTCTACGGTTAATTTATTATAATAAAAATATGAATATCACCAAGCAAAACATTTTTAACTGCTATAGGTAACATTTTATTTATTTCAGTCAAAACTACCTGTAAGATATGATTGGTATCAAACGGAATCTGCAGTTGTAATCACTGTATTAGTAAAAAATATAAAAGAGGAATACCTTCAACTAAATATAACCAAAAATCAAGTAAAAATACAAATATCTCATCCTGAATTTGAAGTTTGCGATCTTTGTTTAAATTTATCCAACTCTGTAATAGCTGAACAATCCGGCTATAAGCTTACCCCATCTAAGGTAAGAAACTAATTTTATTAGAATATATTTGTACCTAACAGTAAGTACTCATTTTTTAGATCGAGATCAAACTTAAAAAAACAGAAGGTCTTAGATGGGAAAAATTAGAAGGTCCTCCTTTGGATCCAGAAGTTAAAGCCATACCTAAAGGTAATCTATTTTAAGAATATAGGTTCCATTGCTAATTTCCCATTAAGAAAAGGTTCAAAATGTGTATAACTTTATTAACCCTAGATTGCCAGTGTACATACATTTGATGTGTCTATTTTTAAAAGTCCTCCCATCTTTCTGATTCTATCTTATCAACTTCCCTTAGTCTGTTGACTTAATACTAGGGTTACCAGATTTATGAAAGGTAAAAGCAAGACGATGGTGATGACAGGGGATCAGGTTAAAAAAAACAGGTATTTTTATAAAACCAGGTTCTTGAGATCTAAAAAAAAGGTCCTCTGTTTATATTTTAATAAACAAGGTCCTTTTCTGAGGAGCTTCTCAAAAAAAAAGGTCTTACCTCTTCAAAATTTTCTTTATTTATAACTTTGGATTTTAAAAGTGTAGCATTTGAGTAAATAAGTAAAAATGTGATGCTTAGGTGAAAATCGGAGCATTTTCTTACTTTGACGCGATGTGTGCCAACAAGTTAAAAAGCAGGAGAATTACGGCTAAAGCAGGACGTCTGGCAACCTTTCTTAATAATGTTAAAAGAGTGTTGATGTATGGTAGTTCTAAGAGACTTTCATGTTACTTTTATAGTTCCTATGTATATCTAGAAACTATAAGCTGTCAAACTAAAAGTTATATAAGTAAAATAAATGATTATTGTAACAAAAACTCCTTGAAAATAAATTACGAAAATTCAACATAAATGTTAGTTAATTGGGGGTACTGAAAATTTAAGAAAATTATATAATGCAGCATTGCAGTATGTTTCTGTTGATAGAGTAAAGTTTCAGAGAGTTGAAAAAATTAAATATCTAGGGGTTATGGTTGATACAAATTTACAAACATTGCAGAATAGGGGTATGAAGATAATAGTGAGCTGTTCAAGATTGGAACCAATCAATTCAATGTTAAATGTGCATCAGTGCTTCTGTTAAAAAATATTTGCTGTTCTCTTCCCTGTTATTTATATTTAAGATTAAATCAAGAATCTACCCAAAATATTTTAACAATGTTCAATAATACAATACACGAAATAAGCAAAAAAATGTTACAGGTTTTTAATAATTTGCCTGAAGATATTAATTGCTCCTTAAACACAGCAATATTACTGGGTGGGTACTTGCTGATCATTTAATTTCTTTTTATTTTATTAAGTATGTTTTGTTAAGTTGACATTATGTTCATCATTTTACATGTACTGTATATTTATGTATTTTTATTTTATTTTAAAAAATATTTTTTTTTTGACTAAATGAACAATTTATATATTATTTCAAACTAGCATTGGGGATAGGAACTTATTTTTAAGCCCATCAATTGAATATTAAAAATTTGTGGTCAGAAAAAAGTAATTGTTTAAAAAAAGCCTCTAATGAAATTTTGCACATATGAGGTCTGTTCCAACAAAGATCAGAAACAAGTCACTGACACCAAGATTCTGTTCAGTAGATTATTGGGACCGCCAAATTTCAATTTTCTAAAGTACAGATGTCTTCAGTTGATATGTTATTCTTGAAGATTTCTTATTAACGTTAGATTTATTGGAAGAAATAAGTATTGCACAATGCTCCATTATAATTATAGTCTAAAAAAATACTATAGTATAATCAAAAAAACAATGTTATGATACACATGCAAATGTCAAAATTTTATCCTATTATGTCGAAGTTATTGGGTATAGAGAGTTTTGACGCGTTTTTCTGAAATATTTCGATTAGCCTTTGATTGTTTAGCATAAATGACAATTATTATCCTCATGTCTAAAAATTTCAGATCCTGAGCCCATTACAGATGGGCCACCTGCTTATCCCACCTCAAAAAAGGGCAAGGATTGGAACAAAGTAGAAAAAGAAATCACGGAGCAAGAAGCGAAAGAAAAACCAGAAGGAGATGAAGCTATAAATACACTTTTCCAGGAAATATATGGTAAAGGAAATGACGAAGTTAAACGAGCTATGAATAAGAGTTTTGTAAGTAATGTGACGTTTGTTTATTTTAAAAGTTTATTTATAATTTACATTAAGTACTAATTAATTTACTTATATTTGATCACTTTTCCCACACTTATTTAACAATTTACGTTCACTTGACAACATTTATTTTAAAACTTAACTTAGTACAGCAAAAGAATCCACTTATATACAAAAATGTAACAGCCTAGAAAAAATCCAATCCACGCGTCGGCTTGTGTATAAAGAATATTCTAGTCGATTCTCGATCGGCCAGCGTCAGCGATAACGGCAGTGGTGAATGTAAACAAAGAACAGGGTCGGACTGGTTGTACGACAGTTATATACAATGGTTAAAATGCAAAAAACATCAAAAAAAGTATATATCTTCCATTATAATTTTTGTTTTAGATGGAAAGTAGTGGCACAGTTTTAAGCACAAACTGGAACGAAATATCTAAGCAAAAAGTTGATGTAAAACCACCAGATGGAATGGAATGGAAAAGATGGGAATAGATTGTGTTGAATATGACATCTTGTAATCTTTATTTATGTTGTTAGTTCTTTTTGTAATTAAATTAATTAAAAGTTTAAACATGCCTTTTATTATGAAATCATTTCATATTTAGATATGTGTATTTGGAGTAAGAATAAGAGGAAAAAGTAAGAGTAAGAACGTCTAATTATTCCGGAAACGGCTTTTACGATATTAATAGAGAGTTATTGCACTTAAGGTCAGTCACTATTAGTGTCGCTCTTGTTTTGACATCTGAGCATGCGCAGATCACTTACATTCTAGAACTGACATTAATAAAGATTGTGCCTGTCCCACATACTTTGATTTTCTTTTACTACACGGAGAATGGTCGCACTGCGTATCTTTCTGAGTGCCTCTTAAAAAGAGATAGAAAACTCCGCCATTTTGATCCTTTATCACGTGTTGCCTACATCTTGACGCAATATTTTTAATAGGTGCGTTTTAATCTTCTGCTTCGGAATTGTCGATTTTCTTGTTTTAATCTGACAGACTGCTGTTTTATTATAGGCGGTTGTCATATATTGTATTATCCGAGTTGCGCAGTGTGTAAATTGGAACATTGAGATCAAAAGTGCCGACGCAGAGTGAGCGATCTGATTCTTTATCTGTAAACTGTGTCATAGGAATCAAAATGACCGCGCCCTATGTTGGGCGGGTCGGACCTCTCTCTTGCCACGTATAGTAATCAAAGTATGTGGCCTGTCCTTAATTGTGAATGTTTAAGGACAGCAGTTAGTGGCGACTATAGTTTTCGGGTGCGCTCGCCAACATTCGTATTATTTCGAAGTTTTTTAATATTAAATATTTAATATCGTCATCTAAACCTTCTAAAATGGTAATTTCTAATGCCTCTTCCATATTATGTACTATTATAAACAACAAAAAAGATGAACTGTAACTTAAAATGAGGTTAGAAATATGTATAAGGATAAGGACTCTAATGTCAAAATTTCATGTTTGCAATACCTAAGTCTTATTTTAGCATGGAATTTATTTGCCTCTAATAACGTTTTCACTATTAGTGGCTGACTTTATAGAAATTTGCAATATCTCTAATATAATTGCAACATCATATTCCCTAATAAATGTCAGAAACTTCATATATATGTCAGTTTGAAACTAAAATTAATACAAATATGTATTATATTTCTATTTCTGAATCGTTTGTAAGTATTTAACATGGATCCTGGATTTGTTTAAGCAGATTTAGCTAATTTAAAGACATCCACAAACGTCAAATAAGACTTGACATAACAAAAATACCAACCACTGTTGTAATTTACGCATTAGGAGAAGCAAATTATAGGTCGAGAACTATCGATAGTCGACACTATTGTAACGATAGTTAAATTTATTTATTTAAAACACTATTTACAATTTATTTATGACGTACTAATTAATTTATGTAATACTTATGCACTATTATAACTCACAATTCTAATTTATTTATTACAATTTATCTTTTGTGTCCAACACTTTATTTTAAACTGCCCGTCCGTCGACGAACTTGCCTATTTATACAAAGCCCACTCTGTACTCGTAGTTTCTAGGCGCTCTTGAATGTCCGAAAATTCCATGTCTATGACTCAACGGCCACGTATTGCTTTCTCTAGTAGATTCGAGAAGCAGTGCGTTTGTCTCTTTACGTCAGCGGTGTTTTAACCCGAGAATACCGATCAAGGAGAAGCGACAGCTTGGTGTTTTCACAATGAACTGGAGGGGGGTAGAATGCCAATGTACATGTTGTACTATTAGAACAAGGTGCGACTCGATGGGCGCAGCCATTTTTATTGTTCATCTCACTCGGGACTATTTATAATAACCATTTTCTATTTCACATTGTTATTATCGCCCATAGAGTCGCACATCAAGTCTATTGACAAGCATTCTACCCCACTCCAGTTTATTGTGTTTTCAGTGTACCATTTTGTAACGCGCATGTGCGAAAATAAGTTGTGTATCACTCAAAATTATGTTATCTGTCAAAGTCAGTACAAGTTGTGTTTAGTACGTGAGCAATGTTAAGTGATATTTTTTGGTGTTTGTTTTGTGTAGTAATAAGATGAAGAGTTTTACACACTTAGATATTCTAATACATATATAAAATGTGCCAAAAAAGTTATTAGGAAACTAAGAATTTTATCACATGCATAAATATTAAGTATAATGATTTAATCATTTTTGACATTTTATTTTTCATATGTAGGTACTGTATTTTGTGAAATATATGTTTTTCTTCTTTTAAATAAATTTAATAAACAGTGAACTGCAGATTTTGTTTATTTTATTTTGAAATTATATTTAAAAAAAATATAATAAATCCTCGTGTTTTAATTAGGATTGGTCAAAGTGAGCGAAATCCCTTTATTATGGCTAAATTGTAAGTTACAATTATGTCAATATAAAGATGTTTTGCCATTCATATTTACATTTATTGAATGAATTATACTAGAGTTGATTTTGGAAATATTGGTTCATACTTAAATAAGTACTATTTCTAAAAATTCGTCTAGGCTCAGACAGCACACATAGTCCAATGGACGTCCACTTTAGATCTATTTGAGAGTCAGGACGTCCATATCCGGGCATCCAGTGTACGTCCGTTTTAATTAAATTGACAGCTGAATATCAATACCCAGAGAACGTCTGTTTTTAGACTTATTTTAAGTTTAGTAGTATTTTGACGTCCAGTGGACGTCCATCTTAGGTCATTATTTATTAAGCCTACTAGATAATACCCATCTATATATACTTCTTTTTTTTTTAATATAACTGGTCATTAAAAATTGACAACTGTATCTAGTAAAAAGTTTTCAAGTGGTTCCTTGGTCGAGCTCGTCTAGCGATTGAAAGCAAAAAACGATAATGGATGTGTCGTGAGTTCGATTCCTGCTCAGGTCAAGCGATTTTTGATAAAAATAAATGGTGTATAGCGGTTTGCGAAAATAATAAACAAATTATTAATAATATAAAATAGTGTGTGGTGAGTTGCGGTTCTGTAAAAAAAAGTGACGATGTGGTCTCAATGGAAATATAATCCTGGACGTTTTTTGAGTGTCCAGTATTCGACGTCCAAATATATTCCAGAATTGGACGTCCTCTGAATGGTCAAAAGTGTGCCACTTGTATACTTCACTGGACGTCCAATGGATGTCGGAAGTCCAGAAAAAACTCATTTTTGGACGTCTATACATCCAAAATTGTATATCGAATGGACCTCCAATGGACATATTTGTAATGTCTGGGTGATAGCTAGGCCAGGTATTTAACTCTAAATACATAAACCTTAAATTACATCTGGCTTAACTTGGCGAGAAAACACTTGTTTCTACAGAAATGAGTAATAAACTTAAAAGTCCTTTTAATATAATATAAATCTAGAAATTCTAAAAATATGTTAGTACTTTTTAAACCTAAATGCTTTGAAAATATATTTATGCACATTGCAAATATTTAGTTAAACCTCTCAAACTTATAATGTCTTTTTAATTGTTACCTACATTTTTTTGGCACCCTTAATTTTATTTACCTTATTTTTACTTAAGGAAAAGGTAATTTAATTTAAATATGGGGCTTTTATTACATTTTTAACAATAAATAAACCAAATATTGAACAAATTTTATAGATAAATTATAAAATAATAAACGTCTTTTACTTTTATAACAAATAAATAATTTTTACATAATGAATTATATTTTAGTGCCGAAATTTCACCATTGCTATTAACCCTATACTACTTCAATATAATTAAATCACATAGCAACATTTGCGCATGGACTATGACAATAATTTCAGATAATTTGCCAAACTATTTCGCTCAGTGTAGAAAATAAGCATGTTTTCTCAGCGTGCTAAGTTGTGTAATAATTAAAGTCATGTGAAAAAGGTACATCCGATATCAAAGGCACCGACAGCTACTGTCGCTTAACCATGGGTGGCAGGCTTCGAGCATATATGAAACTTTAAGGTCGCTTGCTAGACAGGGTTGGCTTCGCGTCACACTATAGTTTCCAATAGTTTTTCCGGTATGAAATCATTGAAATTTTAGACAAAAAAACAAACTTGGTTTACGAAACGTTTATACTAAACACAAAAATAATGTTGATTAAACAAGAATCTTTCCATTGTTACAAATATCTAAATTGTTTGTTTGAAAATGACACTTAAAAATATTAAACAATGACCACGAATTAATTGCCTCTTGAGAAAACGTTTTTCCTTTTCACTTTTTTCTGTTTTACGAAAATAGATTTTTATTTACACAAAATGAGGTTAAGGTAATGGGTTCTACTTCTTTTAATTTTGTATGTTAGAGGGCGCTATCGAATATTATCGATAGTTCATGCAAAATATCGATAGTATTCGATAGTTCATACTATCGATAGTTCTTGACCTCTAAAGCAAATACAAATTATTTAAAAAATTGGCCTCTCTCGTCTCGTAGGGCGAGAGAAAACTGTTGTCTCGACGAGAAGGCGCTTCTCTCGCTCGAGAGAGACTTTGTCTTGTCTCGTCTCGTTTCTCTCGTGATAAAACATTAAATTTAAATTTGAAGGGGGGGGGGGGGAAGTTAGAATTTTTTTAATACAATTCTGCGATGTCAAATGAAAGCATTTTGTAGTATATTTTCAAAATGCAAGAAGATAGAGACATAAAACAAAAACGATGTGAAATTAGAGAAACATTATGATATTTTTGTTATAATGAGATACACTTTACTTGAGACGTAAAATAGAGGGAGTTACTATCTTTAAATTTTCTAATGGAAAGTAAAGTCATATAATAGCTCATTTGAAAGATATTTTGATTATATTTACGTTCAAGCACACACCTTTAATTTTTTTTTGTTTTTACAATTTTTAATAAGCTTTTTTTTGCCAAGAAGTTATAAAAAATTTAATACGTCAAGTGGTTTTTAAATCACCTTTGATATTCTTAATTTATTTATTTATTTTAGTAAATACAAGAAGCGTTTCCTTAGTAATAAACAATAATTGTTAATACGAGAGTTATCAAGAATGTAACTTATTAGTAAAGGCCCAGAACATGTCTGTATAAGAACAAAGTACCAGCTACAAAAAATTGCCATTTATGCAGTGTTAAATCCCTCTAACAGTAAAAAATTACTTAAATTTATAAATACAGTACTATTATTTCACACACTGCACTATTACTTCGCTTATATCGCCTTAGTCGCATCGCATTGGATCACTTTCTAAGACAAAACTGCCTCTCCATGCTCGACGGCTCGTTTAATATTCCGTAGACGCGGCGCAACGAAATATCGAGAATAACCCGTCTCATTCTATGCTTATTGAATCTTCTCGAAATGCTGTTGGAGGACGTCCCCGAAGCTGCGTTGCTTGTGTAGATGTGTCGCTGCGCCTCTATTTAAGTAATAAAAATAACAGTAGGTAGAGAATTTTGTTTGTAGTGATTAACTACTCGTATTATGTTGTGTATAACAACAAAGTGAGACGGGCGCACTGTATATAACTGCAGTCTCATTAATACTTATTAAAAGTCTTAAATAAATATCTTTTTTTATTTTGGGGGGGGATCAATCCCCCTTGATCCCCCGTGGCTACGGCCTTGGCTGTGCCATTTTTGATTAGGTAGGCAGGATCGTGTACTGCCATGTTTCGCTTAAAAGTGGTGTCTCCAATTTCTCCAACACATCATTTTACATATTTTTCTATAGCTAAAAAGTGGTAAATGTCTTTTCAAATAAAAATATCTGCCCACAAAAATAGTCACATCACAATTATTAAGAAGCTTAAAAGTGGGTTTTAACTTTAAACTTTAAAAGACGGCAGTGAAGCTTTCCACTGGTGGGAAGTTAAATAGTTTCTTCTTTCTTCAACTTGTAGAAAACGATAATTAAAAATAATTTTTTTTTTTTTTTTTTTTTTTTTAATGGCACTGGATATAACCAAAAGGCCAGACTATTGTAGTAATCCATAAATCTTTAATTGTTTTATCCACTATTGTTACATGATTACATTATTATTATATTTTGACTTACAGCTATCAAAATACCTGAGTTTGTAATTAATTATAAAAAATGTCTATTTTTTTATTATTTGTTTTTTTGATTATTTTTTTTTGTATTATTTTTTTTTGTATTATTTTTTGTTTTTTTTTTTTCATTTTTTCCTTGGTTTCATTTTTTTATTTTATCATTTATTTTATTTTTTCGTTTCAGGTTTACAATATTTTTAGGGTAGCTCAGCTACTTACAATCTTGTATTAGTTTTTTTAACAAATTCATACAATATTTTATAAACTTTAACATCGTTTAATGAAAGCAGAACATCAATGTTTATTGGTAGAGGTATACCAATATTAACTAATTCTAAGTACATTGTGTCAGTATCTAACGAATTTAGGACACACTCTAAAATTATATGATTGAGATCAGCAATTTCATCACAAATTAAACATAAATTATTATCTGATAGACCAAATTTTTCCTTGTAGGCAGGATGCATAGCATGATTACTTCTCATACGACAAATAACTCGGATAAAAGACCTATTTATTTCGTTTTTGAACCAGGGACACTTTGGAATATTAGGTTGAATGTTTTTGTATTTCTTCCCTTTCTCTTCTTTAGAATATGCATCTTGCCAAGTTTTAAACATTGATAATTTAGATTTAGCAATAAAATCTGATTTTGGAGTTTTAATATTTTTATTAGTTCCCGAAACAGTAGCCTTTTTTGCTAGTATATCCACTTTCTCATTGTTACTAATACCTACATGAGATTTTATCCACGCCAACGAAATTTCTTTATTTTGTTCCAAACATTGATAGTTAATCTTAAGAATTTCTGAGGCTATATAGTTGGTAGGACTGGTAACGTTCCATTTTGCAAAATATTCTACTGCACTCTTACTATCAGTAAATATAACATATTTAGATTTATTTTCCTGAAGACATACTTTAAAAGCTTCTTTTATAGCAACAAGTTCAGCATTGTATATTGACATTGTACTGGGAAGTTTAAATGAAATTTCATAATTTTTGTTAGGATACAAAATTGCACATCCTAATTGGTTCCCAATTTTAGATCCGTCCGTATATATGTTTTCAAATGTATTCCATTTTGTTATTAAATCTTCTTTAAATGCGTTTTTAATCACTAGAGGGTTTTCATTCAGTAGATTTTTGTTTATATATGTTTTCAATGGCGTTGTTAAAGCTGAAAAATGTAAGGACCATAGTGGAATTGCATTTTGTTGATGGAGGTCTGGAATCATTTCAATGGTAGATAAAAAAGTCTCTACTAGTAAAGGAAGTTTTTTCTTTGACCAATACTTTCCAGTTAAACACAGAGAAGATAAATTGGATAAAAGAGGGAGAAGAACCGAATTTTTCGCCCTTTGATTTATTAAAAACTTTTCGGATAAAAATTTTCTTCTAAAATTGAGAGGAGGTTCTGTAGTTTCTGATTCTATTACATTAATTGGAGTACTTGGGAGAAAACCTATACTTAATCTAAGACATTTGTATTTTATTCTGTCCAATTTTTGCAAATGAGTATTTGATGCATCATTGTATAATATTGCACCATAGTCAAAAATTGATCTAATCAGCACCCTATAAAAAAGAATTGCTATGTTGGGGTCTGCACCCCAATTATATTTGGAAATAGTTTTTATTAAATTTACAGCATTTTCTGTTCTTTTTACAATATAATTAATATGTTCTTTCCAGTTTAGCTTCTTGTCCAATATGACACCCAAGAATTTATGACTACTTTTAAGTTGAAATTGACAATTTCCTAGTGAAGCAACATTTGAAAGTTGAGTTCTTTTCCTTGTAAAGCAAACTACCGCTGACTTGTTTTCTGAAATTGTTAGACCATTTTCAAACAACCATTTCTGTATGTCTTCTACACCTAATGATAGTTGATAAATACTAGAATCAATACTTTTATGCTGAGTATACAAAACAATATCATCAGCAAATTGAAGAATTTTTGTAGGAATAGATATATGTCGTTCCAAATCTTGAGTATAAATAAGGTATAGAAGTGGACTTAAAACGCTTCCTTGAGGAAGACCAAATGAAGTTTCTCTAGGTCCTATAAATTCATTATTTATTCTAATCAATAACTTTCGTCTTGTATATAGTTTATAAATATGTAAGGAGATTAAGTGAGGGATCCCCAATGATATCATTTTTTGAATCAGTATTTCTAGATTGACATTATCATAAGCTCCTTTAATATCTAAAAACACAGCAGTGGTAGAAATTTGTTGGGAAAATCCAATTTGTATGTCAGTTGTTATGGTTGCAATACTTTCTTGAGTAGACTTGTTTCTCCTGAAGCCAAATTGTGAGTTTGGAAACATATTATTGTGTTCCAACCAATGTTCCAGTCTAAGTTTGATCATTTTTTCATACGTTTTTAAAACACAAGATGATAGTGATATTGGTCTATATGAATCTGCATTAGTTGGAATTTTGTTTGGCTTGAGTATGGGTAAAATAATATAATCAGACCAAGATTCTGGAATGTCCAATTTCTTAGCCCATATTTTGTTTAAGATATTTAATAGTTGTTGTTTAGCAATCTTAGGGAGGTTACTTAGCATTGTATAATGAATATTATCTAAACCTGGAGACGAGTTCTTTGTTTTCATTAAGGCCAATTCTAATTCATTATAAGAGAATGGTGTTAATAAGTTTTTGGAGTTTTCGGTTGAAGTGGCTAGGGATTTATTTTCCAATTCTGAATCATTAGGAGGGCATGGAACAACGAATGGCGGGGCTAATTTCAAATGAAATTCTGGTATCCACTCGGCTGTTTCGATGTCTACTGGAGGAATCATTGAAGAATTTTGATTTTTTAATGAACGAACTTTTTGCCAAACTTCCTTAATAGGAGAATGTTGGTTCAGAGATAGACAATAATTTTTCCAACTTTCCCTTTTGACTTGTTTTATTGTCTTTTTTGCTATGGCATCTAATCTTTTGTATTCTATAATATTTGAGAGTGTTGGATTTGTCTGGAAGGTTATAAAAGCTTTTTTTCTGTTATCTATCACTTCATCACATTTTTGGTTCCACCAGAATTTATTTTTAGATGAAGAGTTACTTTTAATAAATTTTGGAATTGACTTTTCAGCAGCCGTATCTATGTTTTGAATAAATTCTTCATAATTAAGATTAATATTTCCGTGGAACAATTTTTGTGTTTCTAAATAAAACGAATTCCAATTAGCCCTCTTTAAATTCCATTTTCTGGTAGTCTGAGTAATTATATTTTTAGGAGTGATTGAGATTGAAGTAAGAGTGGGAAGGTGATTCGAACCATATAAGTCATTTAGAGTTTCCCATTTCAGAAGATGTCTAATTTCTAGAGAACTGATTGTCAAATCAATAGCTGAAGGTATGGTGTGTAGATTTCCCAAAAACGTTGGTGATCCGTCATTTATAAAACTAAGATTATTTTGGTCTAAAGCTTCTAACAAAATTTTACCATATGTATCAGTCGATGGACCTCCCCAAGCTATGTTATGAGAATTTAGATCTCCTGTTATTATACATGCAATTTGTAGAATTGTTAGTTATCATCTTATATCACCCTGTATATTAACTCTATTGGAATGTCATTTGAACATTATTTTTTACAAAACATGGTCATTTATTTATTAGATATTTATCTAGTACTCTGTGAATGACACTTTGTTTACTGTAAACAGTTCTTTCAGTTTTAGCATTTTTTCCCAAAAATCTTTTAAAATGGATAAAACCCGTGATAAAGTGTTTCGCCGTAAAGGTAAGCACGTAGAATCACATTATAATCACATGTTTTATAGATAATGAATTAAAAGTTTCGAATTTTAATTTGACAATTTGTTGGAAATTTCACCTGTCTTTCGGAGGTTTCATACGACCCCAAAATATTGCATGCCTTTGAGTTAATTTTGCACCTACATCGCTTAAATTACATTTTAATTATAGGAGAAAATTTACAAAATTTGCTAAAAAATGTTGCTGTAATAAAAATAGTGTAATTTGATTAGAGGTGTGATACTATGAAACTCATATAGATATTTTAATCAAGTTTAATTCATTATAAACAATTTAGATTTTCGGGATTCTAAAGAAATTATCAATGAAGTAATTTTTTTGACCTGGGATTGATACATTAATATAGTGTGGTCCCAATTTCTCGCTGTTTCCATCTTTTTTATCTGCATTCCCATTATACTCTTAATAAACTTCTACCAAATTTTTACAAATTGAACGAGTAAAATTTGAACGAACTACTAACGTGTTAGGGGCATTTAACATATGTTTTGAAAAATTATTGGCGGCGAGAAGGTCATGAATTAAAGAAAATCTAATTTGAAACACTTTTAAAATTAAAACTTATCGATTTTAATGAATTTGAGAAGCAATTGGTACCATCAAACGCAGAAGATAGTTTTTAAGTGCCCTTATTAGAACTTGTAGTATGTAATAATTATTGTGGAAACAATAGAAACTGAATAATTTTATTGCTTCTCGCAAAAATCAATATAATTTTGTTTAATATTAAACTTTTTTTTAATTTGTGACAATTATAGTTTACGTAGATGTAGAAGACATCCCAATAAACCACAAATAGTCGGCATTCGCTCGGCCTGACATCGGCATGTACGGGAAGCCGAGTACTCGCATAGCCTTTGTCAGGGTTTCTTCTTAGCCGGAAGGACCGTACCATTTGATGTAATTTAGAAGTAGAAACTGCATATGGCCCATATTGGGTTTTCTAGACATGGGAGGCATCCCTACGGGCCGAATTATATATAGATATATGAATTCGGCTACAATTTAGTGGGCTGCCGATATTCGGCTGGGCGGACATGCCCTACCTATATGCCGAAGCTGCACCCATATATCGGGTCCAGTCCGGCATCCGGTAAGCCTCTTTCGGCCCAGTTAGGGTGCCGATTAACTGTGATTATTGGGATAGTACATTCATGGATTTTACCATATTTTCTAAAATATTTAAAAATATAACTCTGCCATCAATGCCCTGTGGAGCGGGCGGTCAGAATGGCTTCACCCGAGAATTTACCATTGGGGCGGTAGAAGCTTACCAAATGGCCACCAACAAAACATGGGGTCAACACCTTTCGGTGTTAACTTGCAGACTTTGACCTGAGGGGCTGGCTATCTCTAGACATCCACCAGCTATACAACCAACAGGTTTTTGATGAGTTAATAACCTGTAAGACTTTGGGCTGGGAATATGGATTTCTCTAGACACCCCTCAGCAACAGCCATTTGCAGATTTGCCCCTGGAGAATGCAAAATGGGCCTAATGAGGTCTTAAGTGCCGTGGAGCAACCCACTTTCCAACCTTACAAATACAGAGAGAGAACTCTTATATCAAAATTAATCCAGGAAATATTTTTTTAATTTTTTTCTGAAATTAAATTTTCCCCGCCCCCTTTACTTATAAAATATACCTATGAGAAAATAATTTAGACGCACAATAAATTTTCAAAATATTTTCTAAGTACACTCTCTTTGGATTTCGATAGCAAATTTTAAACCTTTTAAAGTTACATTTTTAGATAGTATAACGAGAATACCTAAAGTGTACGAAAACGGACGCAAGGATGTACCCCGTCCTAGGAGTAGAAGTGTTTTTACCAGTTCTCATGCTAGCGATGACCTTCAAACCAGGGACATAGTGAGATACGAGGGTCAAACCCCACGACCCCCGTACGTCCCCAAACCAATTACAGTCAAAAATTATTTTTCGGAAGATTACAATGTAAGTTATTAAGTTATTTATTTTTATACCTAGGATGATTTATTATCTATTAACTCCTGTTATATTTGTTATGTTGGGTATGGGGTATTAATGCACTGCGACCTAAAAGATTTATTGTGCCCCCTACCTTCTCAAGGAAGTGTAGAATTTAGAGTGGCTTCAAGTAGATTGACCTCTTCTATTTGGTATGACCCCAAGTATAGTGCCTTTGAATTCTGGAGTGCTATACATTCAGTCACAATGTAAATGGAGGTTTTATCCTTCTTTTTACAGAATCTGCATTCATTATATTCTACTACTCTGTTTACTTAAGTAGGTATCTTTTGAGTAGGCAATGTCCGGTAAGAATTCCTGTTACAAAATACGTAGCCTGTTCTTACTCAGGCTGATACAGGCTTCCGATCTTTTCTGATTATATTCACCCAGAAGTATCTTAGCCTGTCGTAATCCCCAATTATCGGTTTTTGTACTGTTCAATTTTTTGGGCGAGACTATCTGTAATCATGTTACCCTTTACCCCGTTATTTCCCGGAACCCAAAGTGAGAGTAATTTTATTTTCCTAGCCTAGCTCATTCAGTTTTTCTAGGCATCTCCAAACCATTTTTGAGCTGATTAAATAAGATTCTATGGTTTTGGAACCATCCATATACCACTGAATGCATGTCTTTCGAATGCAAGCACGATGGATTCTTGGCTCCATTTTTTCTTGTAGCCCAGCTCTGTGGTTTTGAAGTTTTTCACAAAACTGTACTTATATCCCAAGTATCTTTCGTCTGATTACTCTATTCCTGGTCATTCTATCTGTATATTGTCCTTTTTACTATGTTCTCTATCAATAAATTTAGAGGGACAAGGTTTAAATTCAACTCCATTGCGGCCGTAGGACAGGTTTTCATTGCACCGATGGTGATGCAAACACAGACTAGTCTTTGTACTTTTTAGATATTAGCTCTCGTAGGAGCTAAACTAGTTCTGTTATTCCAGGCTACATTCCCATAAGTGAAGGTCTCACTATTGATGTATAGATTCATCGCAGTACAGTGTTTGGGTTACATCCCCATCTTTTACCTGCAATCTTTCTGCATACCATTAGAGCTTTTGTGGCCTTATTTACTACTTCCTTCTCATGTATGTTCCAGAGAAGTTTGTTGTCCAGAGTTAGGCCTGGATATTTGACTTCTTTTTTTTTCACTCTAGGTATATCTATCTCGTTTAATTTGACGGTTTTAAGATTGAGATTTATTTTTCTTGAAAAGGCTTCTAGTGTTCTTTTGGTTGGGTTTAAATTATTACCTATTATATTCCCTTTCTTAATTTTTGCATATAATTTTAGGATATTTACGCTGATGACTATTCAGGAGGCACTACTATATCTCCACATGGTATCATAACTATGCGTTTGCGCGAATATATTCGTGTAGATTTGTCTTTAGACCGCGCCATTCGAATTTCGAATACGAAAAATGGAATCGTGTTAGCCTTGAGCGCAAGTGGTAGCTCCTCGGGCCTCATTCACCCCAATGGAAGAGTGTATCAGTATGGCTCAAGAGTGGAAATTATGGCAAACGATGGTCAAGGAAATGATAAGTAAGATTGTTAATTAATGTCGTTATACCTTATACTTTTTAGGTGCAGATACATTTTTAAATAGGTACTAATTTCCGGTTTGTTTCTATTTTAGATTTGCAAAAATGTGGTATAAAGGAGTAAGTTTTACCAGTGTTCAATGCGCTTTAGTTTATTTGGTGGATTCTGCTGGTACAAGAACGACCACCGATACATTTAATGATCTGACCCACGATTTTACTCTTAACATTTTCTATGAGTAAGTCAACTATTTTGTTCTTAATACATTAATTAATAATTGTTACATTACATTGTATGGACCAAGAACTAAAATTATATTTATATTTTTTAGAGACTCTCCTTATTCTTACCTTGATAATCCAAGTACAACCCATACGACTCATTTAGTGAATGAAGCAATGACCATACTACAAGCTACCAACTGTTGGATGACTGAAGATGGAACAACAAACTGGATCATAAACAATGTGAGAATCTCTCAAACAGCGGACGGACTCGTAAGGTAATTTTACTCTAGGTATCTATTTGTTTCTGGTGCTGGTACAGGAATGACCACTGCAGAAAATGATATATTCCGAATTGTTTTTTAATCTTCAAAGTAGACAATTCCGTATACATTCATAATTAGTGTAGAAATATTATTCCACATGGTAATTCCACACTGTTAAGTGTATCGAATAAATTGTCGTATAACCTTTAGTACGAATGAAAAAAACACAAAAATATATTTTAAGGACATACCTGTCTAAATAATTCGTCAAAATACAAAAAAAATTAGTTTATTTAGAAAAAAAAAACGTTGGTCGTCTATATATAAAAGTGATAATAATACTCCACCACATATTAAATAAAAAGCGAATAACATTACAGAAGACTTATTGCCTGAAATATCGGCGAAAAAATACAACTTATTCAAAATTTATGGATTGATGCCAAACAAAATAAGGTGAACTCCTTTTCAGAAATTTAATGGTTTATTTTGGGGAGCAATCGAAGTCTTTTAATTCTTCTACATTATGGTTAATTTACTCGATGTTTAATAAAAAAATTGAAAAATCACAACTGGGTAGGTATGCTACAAAATGCTACAAATAAGGTATATAAGTACAGTTTTGTGAAAAACTTCAAAACCACAATAAAAATAAGTGGGGTGCAGACCCAAACATCGCCTTCACATTTTATAAATCTTATATTCGTTCTATACTGGATTATGGATGTACTCTTTATGGATCGACGTGTAATTCAAATTTGTTATCTGTAGATCGAATTCAATTTAAAGCCTTAAAAATATGTTTAGGGGCTATGGTATCGTCACCTAATCATGCAATTCTTGCTGAGGCACAGGACCCGCCTCTGTGCATTCGAAGAGAATTTTTAGCAAATAAACAAGTTATTAAGTATAGGTCTTTTAGTAATTTTAGGATCACCAAAATTTCAACTGTAGCTGTAAAGAACTTAACGAATTTATACTGGGAAAGAAGAACTCTCCCCCTCTTGCAAATGCTTTTATTGATACTAGTCCATATAATAACCAAATTGAAAAATTTCAGAAATTACCCATATATGAAATTGAATTTAAAATTCTAATATCTAAACCAACCATTATTATTCGAAATACTCAGATATTGCAAGCCTTATCTTTAAATCCATACTCAGTAATTTGGGAGATAATTTAACTACTATTTATACAGATGGATCGAAAAATGGTTTAGGTACTGGCTGTGCATTTCTTGTTTCAGACACTAATTATATAGAATCATTTAAATTACCCTGCTTCTGTTCTATATTCACAGCTGAAGCAGTGGCGATTCTAAAAGCCTTAGATTGGTGCAAAGCAAATTCATTTCAGAATATAGTTATAGTGTCTGACTCCCAATCAGTTCTGCAGGCTATTGATAGCCCTTCCATAAGTCAAAACAAAAACGCGGTAATATTATCCATTAAGAAAATTATATTTGACCTTAAACAGTGTAGCGTTAAAGTTTCCTTAAAGGACATTTTGGCATTGCAGGAAATGAACATGTGGATAGGGCTGCTAAAGAAGCATGTAGTTTAGAACAAATTACATTATTTTGTAGTTTTATAGATATTATTAGCATTTATAAAAAAGATGTAAGAAGTAGATGGGAAATTAAATACACTGAGCATGCGAAGGCATCACAAAGTCACTATTATAGTATACATCCAAATCTTCCTAAGAATATTCCTTACATCAGTTCATGGAACTATAATAAATATCAGTCATCTATAATTACTCGTTTGAAGCTCAATCACGGCCGATTCCCTGCATATTTATGTAAAATTGGAATATTGGATTCTCCCTTTTGTCCATATTGCAATATAAACGCTGTAGCAGATATCAATCATTTATTTTTAGATTGTAATAAAAATGCTCAACATACCACCGTATTGTATCAAGATTTAAATAAACTTTCACTCCCACTTCCACTCAATATTTCTTCACTTTTAGTTCAATCAGATAAGATAATTTTTGAAGCTATTATTAAATTTACTCAAAATACTAAAATAGATATTTAACATAATATATACAAAAATTATTAAGTTAAAACTTTCTGTGGTAAATAGACTTGCATGTCTGATGTCATCCCATTACAAAAAAAAGGTAGGTATATATTGTTGGAAATAATAATAAGGTTGTCTCAATCAACACATCCGTTTTGTTAACTGTCATGTCCTTTAATCTTTGTTTTTGTGACTTGTGTGATTTTATATGTCATTTGTAAAAATTTTTTAGTAGTCAAATGGAAATTAAATCAAAGAAATAAGCGTATCTATAATTGCAGTAAGAAGTGAAAAGTAATTACAAACCTTTATTTTTGTAACAAAAAATACCTAATACCTATTGAAAATAGTAAACATCAGAAAACTGAAAGGTTTTATAATTATTATTATTTTACATTGTTCTTCAAAATTCCTAAAGTGCATGTTCAGTAGAGATATACCTCTGCCTTTGATTATTGTCTGCATCTGGAATGCAATTTTGACACTGACTGGAAATTAAATTAATTCTATGTTTTCCTGCAAAATAAAAATTAAGAAAATAAGTATAAATTACGTTCGAAAATAAAATATTAACAATTATTTTTTTGGGAATAAATTTTGAATACACGTTTGACATTAACCTTCAATAGGCAACTTTTCATACACTTTCGCGTAAATACTGTTGACTAATTACCTATTGTGTGCACGTTCTAATATTTTTTTTATTAAATATATTTTTGTTTAGCTGAAACTATAAAATTATATAATAATAATAATAATAAATGAATCTTTTCACTTGTTCTATAAATCAATATACTTTAATTAAAACCAAAAAATACATTTTTATTTACGAATTATATTAATAATGATACTGTCAATACACGCAATGTCGCCCTTTAGTGCAAATTTTATTTGGTGCTGCCAATTATTCTTTTTTTTTAGAAAGCTAGTAAGAATTATAAACTCTAGCTTTATCAAAAAGAAAATTAATCCAAACTTATATATAATTTAAGTAAAAAGAGAATTGTTGTAACCTTTAAAAATAAGATTCAACATATATATTTAAGTAATTGTAAATGAAATTTTGATAAGTTTGCTATATTGTGAAATTTCCAATAACATATATGATTTTATTTGGCTGATACCAACACAATGATTTAATCTCAATCGTACTATAATATTAGATAGTTTAGTCACCATAATCTTCGGAAAAGATAGAAATTTCTATCTGATGCAACAGCAGTCTCCATAATTGTAGCTCTACTAGCCCCAAAACCAACCTCAATTTTCTGGCATATCGACACAACTCTGCTTTGCAAAAACTGTGTTGTCTATTTTTTACTTTCCAATATGAAACATGGAAAAGATTGAATTGAATGAATTCGCTTTCCAAACAAAAAATAAATTCTGTTTTTCACGAGGCTCTTGTATGAGATATAAATTAAACTTTTAAACAACTACTTTTTAAAATTTCCAGCAATGAAAATTAATTAATACAATGTGTAATTCCAGCAACACAAAAGGAATTACTGAACCATATTGAATAAATTTAACTTGACTTTCAAAAAATAAACTTACAAAAAGTAGAAATATAATTTCTTTTGAGATATTTTTTTAATGACATCAATAACTCACCGCTGGTTACAGCCACAGACACTGATAGTACAAGATATGATCGAAAAAGGAATTTCTAGAAACGATTTGAACATCAACTGCCAACTAGACTCCCACTACATTAAGTTCCCCTTTTTTAGGAATATTGCGTGCGGCGATAATTAAATTTGAAATTATTCGAATGCTATTTTTATACATTCACACATTCAAAATAACATTTTTAAAATGTTACAATGCTTTATAATTTTTCATCTGATTGTATACATTTTTTTATTGAAATTATTAACTTAACAATGGTTTTTTTATAAAGAAATTAAAAAAATCTGATTTTGTCTCAAGATAGCCCACGAAATGGGCCACTTTAAGATAAGGCAAAAAACCATAAAAAGTACAAAAAAACGGTTTTTTTTTTTTTAAATATTACACAACTATGTGGAAAAACAGCAAAATAAAAATACACATGAGGTTCTAACATCGAAAGATACTAACGGATATTGATGCCATTGATGTTTCCGTTGTTTTTATTCGCTGCCTTCCTTAAGCTTAATTTGTGTTTAATAACATTTTAGACAGCCCTTTTAATTGATTTAGCACTAAAACATGCCCTTTTCAGATATTTTTTTTTTCATTCTGGTGGCATGTTTCCTATACAAAATATTTTTCACACGTTTCAAGTTACAAAACATAAAAACAATCGCCTCGTAATATACACAAACAGTAAAATTAATATTCAACTGTTCTATTAAACACTTCAGATCAATATAAAGATCTGTTAGAAACCACTCACGAGGTACTGAACTGTTAGCAACAAAAAATTTCATTATGGCAAAAACAAATTAAGATTGGCAACAAATTTGGGAACACACGTTCGACTTCTCAGGCAACAAAAATAAGACTGTCCTGTCTGTCACTTGAAGTTTATGTGAATAAGCGAAAAATTACGGACGTTATTTAAAATGAATGGCGACTGTCTCATGGCAAACGCGTCTCATGGTAGCCCACCCTCCCCTACATCTTCGCATCATCCTTCATAGTTGGGTATCACAATAATATTTGATTAAAATCCATTTCTTTACACATAATTCGTATACCTAATTAAAAAAATATTCCGACGAATTGAGAACCTCCTCCTTATTTGAAGTCTGTTAAAAATAACAATTACACATTAATTACATTGACTCACTGACACTGTCAATTTTTGTGTCAAAAACTCATGTCTTGTTGATCTGTGTAGAATCATCACACTCCCTAATTGTTCTCTTACAAAATAGTTAGAGAAGTATTTTGTTCTACTGGAACGGATTTTCTATCGCTTTTTCAATAGAAACGTCGTCAAGAATACGGTTTTTGAAATGTCAGTAGAAACACGCCCACTTTTTCTCTGTTGTACTCATCTATCATCGTCAAGAATAGGGACTGGGGATTGTTAATATCAAGGTTAGTAATTAGTCCCAGTTCTTTGCTCGCATCTATCTTTTTGTCCAGGATCTAAGTAATCCTAGAGGTGTTATCTACAATTCAGAGGTTTTTCTTCCTCTTTGACAGTGAGAGTTAGATCTTTAGTATTTGTAGGTTATCCTACGGTTATTCAGTTTTTTTTTTTTCGAAATTTCGACTTTATTTTCCCAAAAATATAACCTTTTTCTTAAAATACTGATATTAAAATTGTATTATGTCACTAATATGCCGCTGTAGTGAACATTTCACTGTATTTGTATGTGTCTAGTGACTTGAACTTGTGGTATAGGTAATATGAACACTGACTTGTTTTGAATGAAACGCAATTTTTGTGTTTAACTTTGTTTAATTCCATGATGATTCCAAAATAATTTTTAGTACCTGTTTGGGCCATTTTTTCTTTCTATTTCGGCGTGCATCGACGGTTTCCTAACCTTAAGTTTTTTCTTCTTTTTGTAGCAGTCTTTCTACTAAATACCTTTATAGAGTATATCCTGGACCCATAACCTTTTGAATGAAACGCAATTTGTGTGTTTAACTTTGTATTACATTTTTGAATATTGACGACAAGTGACAGGAATCACAATTAACAGTGTCACCAACTTAATATTAAACCCTTATAAACTAAACATAACTAAATTTATTTTAGCGATTTGGTACATACATCAACAACTTGTAATGTATAATTTGTGTTTTTTATTTTCAGAGTTGGCAGAAACAACAACAAATTTTCTCTAAGAACTTCACCGACGAACGGTTCTGCATCAGTATCATCGCCGTATATGCACTGCACCGGCTCTATGGGACAAACGCGCCATCTTTTTGTGAGACGCGGCGAACGTCGCATGCACTACGACGGTTCAACGTTCATTGTCAGAAACGCCGGTCATTCAGCTGGATTCGACGAAAAACACCAATTAAAAGTTTACTAGTGTTTGCAATTACATATATTTCGTTCGATAAGGCCGGTTAAGTTTTTTTTCTTAGGATTTTTATTTGACGGGCAAATCCAGTCATTTGTTCTTATTGCTTGCATTTTTTTGTTTTATATATTAATGCTGGCTAGAAACGAAATTTGAGTGCGCGTTGCAAAATAGTGATAATTTGGTTTGTAGCGGATGTCTTGTGTATTTAGCGGTGGTTGTCGGTAAAAGTAAAAAACAAACACTTCATCAATAATTCAGAATTATTAATTTTAATAAAAAATTAAATAAAAATAGATGAAATAGCAAAAACAATTTTCCATTCACATTTATATGCAATTTTCCTGGACTGAATTAAAAATATTCAATTTTTTCTTTAGATGTCACCAGTTTAATATAGATTTAACTACAAATTATTAACATTTCACATGGTCCTTCGAGCCGGTTTAGTCCAGAACTACTTTAAGTTCAATCTCATGTAAGTTTCTTCATGATCCAATTCCTGTAATAGAATAAAAGTAAAGAAGCACCAACTCCGTTATTTTGTTGTACATACTTATTTTGGTCTGCATTTTTCTAAGCGTTTCAATTTTCTACTTATTTTCTTGTGACGTTGAGGTTCATCGCGCATTTGTCTTCTGGTTCCTCGGAACCATCTGATGACGTCGGACATATCGCAATATAGCTTTCATCAAATAAACCTTCACGATGACATTTCGTCTATCAATCTTATTTTGCAAAAACTTTTAGGTAGTCCTGAGTGACATATTTGGTTAGAGTTGGATACTATACAACTGTAGATCTTCTAATGCATAAAACTGTTATATCGGAGATACATTAGTTTGCAGAGAGAATTTGTTGAACAGGAGCTTCTATTAGGCTTTCAAATGACCTGTCAAACTGCAGACAAGTGGGAACTGACATTTAGATATGGTAACCAGGGATCTCAGATGTACTGAGCCTAAAATCGTGAATTTGTTCATGAAAAAATCGTGAGATTATACAACGCATACGCAGTTTAGTAAAATATATGGAATTTTCGATTAATATGTACTCTGTTCGAGCGGAGAGCAAGTAATGGCCAACTTTTGACTCTCAGCACCGTTCTAACATGTATAATAAAGACGAAAAATAATTTTCTGTCATTTTGGCTCACCTTTTGGACAGATAGATTTTAATCAAAAACATTAACATATTTTTTGGGAGTAAGAGAGAGGAATTTTGTTTTTCCAGTACCATCTAAATGTCTCAAAGTACTTATTTTGAATTTTTATATAAACTTATCTAATTAAGCAAAAATAATAAATTTCTTAGGAATAGGTGGTTAAGGAATTGACCACTGCAAGCCTGCAAATGCAACAGTCATGGCGTTTTCACTTTTCACTCTGAAAGTAACTGGTATCGATATATCGCTCATCTTTTATGTGCACTCCACGCAGGCAGGGCAGTGAAATCGAAAACGTTATCAGAAACCGCCACTGAGACTGTCAAGTGTCAGTCGTCCGCCATGTTTCGGCCAAAGCGTTCCAGAGTCAGACTCGACAACATAAGTCAATTATATGAATAATTAAAAATAATTTTTTTACATAAAAACTTAAGGTAAGATGAGGGGCATTATCGTGAAACTCAGTACTGAATCGTGAGATCTGGGATCCCTGATGGTAACCCTGTGAGCCTGACAGGGGCAATGATACATATATATAGATTGCTCAAAGCGGGTCGTTTACGAGCGTCCATATTGCCTCGCCAGTGCTCATTATTTAGAATCATTTTTGCATAAATGTGTTTACAAACCAATATTTAGCCCTTGAATGTAGTAAAAAAATAATTACCTACATTTTTACTTCAAGGCATAAGCTTATGTTTATTTTGAAAAATATGGCTGTAACTATCTTTGCCATATTATAACCTGTCAAAACCCACTGGTAGCCATTTTGTTTGGAATGCCTGATTAGTTAGTTGGTCATACTCATCAAATTCATACAATATCCTTTGTCAGAACTAAGCAATTAAGTTTTGTAGCGATACATTTACTAGTAAGATCTACTGGTGTCGTTATTATTTCATTATCGTATCTTACCTACAATTTAATCTCATTTTGATCTACTCACTTGTTCTCTAGCTTGACACTAACATTGTTCCATTTCACGTCTAATAAAGCTTATGCAAATTGCCTGATTGTGGCCAAAATATAGTCTCTTCATTTTCATATCTGTCTTTTTTGCTGTTAAGATCTACATGAATTTAACCCTGATATTGTGCATTATCTATGGTCTGTAAGAACCCGGTAGTGTTGGAATGATCGTAGCACTTTTCTCGCCTTTTCTTAGTTCCACGATAAACTTAATTCCTCACCATTTTTAGCCCTTGGGTTCTGGTTTGTTACTTGGATGTGATTTACATTCTCAAGTACTTTTTCATAATAAATCGTAGTTTCAGGTTTGATCTTGTGGTTCTCAGTAAGTCTCCTTTTTCTTTGGTCGGGCACCAATAAAGGCGAAGGATTTTTATAAGTGCTAACCGATGGCTGGTATTCAAGCTAGTAGATTTTACAAAGTAAATCTGATGTTTTATTACTTTAGAATTTTGCCAGGATAATGACTCTTAACTGTATTTATCATCTTTAATAAAAACGCCTCGTTAAGGGCCCCATGAAATATCTTCCATTTTAAATAATATATTTTTTTATTCAAAGATATATATTGGATCAGATTAGGTTTTAACAAAAAGCAATTCTTTGTGCCGCTTGAGATGCTTTTTATGGATCTACTATTTTGTCTTTTCTCACTATTAGGCATTCCAACGACTTGTCAAAATGCTAACAAGTGGGAACTGACAGTTTAGATATGCAACCCTGTAGACCTGTTGTCATTGACAGGGGCAATGATACATATATAGTTATATAGATTGCTCAGAACTGGTCGTTTGCGAGCAGCCATATTGCCTTGCCAGGTATTCATTAATTTGAATCAGTTTAGCAAAAATGTGTTTTAAAACCAATTTTTAACCGACTTCAAAAAAGGAAGAAGTTCTCAATTCGTCGTAATGTTCTTTTTGGAAACTACCACTGCTTCTTGTAGAAATTAATCAAAAGAAGAAAGTTCTTATGATAGAATTTAACAGGTGACAAGGATTAGAGTGGTAAAGGTAGAATCACTAAGACCACCAAAAGAATTAACCCGATTTTAAAGATGTTAAGGCTCCCACCATGCAAAATGCATCCCTGTTAAATGACGATAGTTCGTCAACTTTAATGCCCTTTTAGAAGAAATGGCAAACAAATTATTTGATCTTGTTTTTGAGGAACCTACAAAAAAATAAACAAGAGATGAATAGTAGTGAAGCAGGTTTTGATCGTAGTATATCAGTATGGGAACTTTCTGAACTTGGGCCTCATAAAATAGGTAATCAGTGAACACGATTAGAAACATTATCACGTTTGCCCTGGAATGTACTCGAAAAGCGCCTCCACCATAGTCGTTATATATGTTTGGCTTTAAGGGGTTTAATTATGTATGATAATCGGACAAGTTGGGCCTCAAAGGCCAAATAAGACAATAAGGGACTTGGAGGATTAGAGCATGACTAAATAATGAAACTGCTCACATTACAATATCTTGTTTTTAAAATTAATAAATAATACTATTCATTTAACCAAAAATAAGTAAAAAATAGTAACTTACCAAATGTTTATTTTCTACGCAATGCATCAATTCTAAAAATAGGCCACTCTTCGGCTAATTCGGCACCAACTTCGAACGCTCTTTGTATTGTAGTGATGAATAGTTCAAAACCTTCACAGAATAGAAAAAATTTCGTGATTTTTGAAATATCATTAACATTATTAAAAAATATTTCTCAGCTTTTCTCAAATGTAATGAACTACGATAGTTCGTCAACTTTCATGCCCTATATTTTTACTTCAAGACAAGCTTATGTTTATTTTTAAATCCATGGATGATCAATCTATATAACTATCTATATCATTAACCCTATCAAACCACCAGGCTCATAGTGTTGCCATATTATAACCTATCATGTGCCTGTCAGTGGCCTGTCATTTTAAACGGGCAGCCATTTTGTTTGGAATGCCTAATGGGATAAAGATGAACCTTACTCGCATGATATTTATGTATCATCTTTCAAGAGTCTTAATTGAACAAACATCTTAGGTCATTTGTTTACAAAATTCTAACCTAATTGTTTTTTATGTTTCAATTTTGTCTTTTTTTATTAAAAAAAATGAATGTGAAATTTCACTTGGTTTTGGTATTTTCATATTATGTTTCTGTATATAATTTTTGAAAGCCGAGGGCACTCAACTTAAGTGGGTCACACTCAGGGCCGCCGAGAGCCAGGCCGGGCCCCAGGACAATTCTCTAGATCGGGCCTCGTGACAAAAAAAAGCTCTTCAAACAAAAACTTTTCCTCTTCTACTTGAATTGGATTTTCTAAAAAAAAGCTCCTCAAGCAAAAACTTTTCCTCCTCTACTTGAATTGAATTTTCTAAAAAAAAAAAATCCCCCCCCCCCCTCCCCTCCCATCCAAAAACTTCCCCCTCTCGTCTTGTGCCGAACTTCTGACAAAAATCCGGTTGTCGGGCCCCTCTTATACCGCTGCCGGGCCCCCATTTGAGTCCGGGCCCCGGGAATTAGTCCCAGCTGCCCCACCCCTCTAGTCGGCCCTGCTCACACTGTATAGAAAGATGTAAAATGAGTACTGGGTAATATACAGATGTAAAATAACTTACCTTGACTCAAATAAACATTAACACTAATTTTTAAATTTTTTCCACGTCAAAAACGACTAAAGTTTATTAAGTTTTTTTTTAGATTTGATTATACTTACTGGATTAACTAAATATCTTTTAAAGGGTAGTATTTAAGTATATATTTTACGTAGATTTTGCCGATTTTGGCAACACTGTTACTAATAAAGAAGGTTATCAAAATTTTCTGAGTAAACCTAACAAAAGTCTCTATTCTTAAATTCTAGAAAAACTTAAATAACAAAAATTGTTATCGACCTCAAATTTTCATCAGAAAACTTGAAAGATGTTTTATTTTTATTGACACTGATGCCAGTTTTTCGAAATTGTTTAAAACCCACGATAATTAACTTTAACTGTTTTTGATATGAAAAAAAATCAGAGTGGCTTGAAAATTACTGCCAATATACACAAATTTGGGTATTTTTTTAATGCCAATCAACCAACTTGAATATTTTTTGATAAAATAAAAACCACTCCTAAATGACAAGTCTCGCAACCAAATTTAAAATATACTCGTAATTAATTGTGCCGAATTAGTGTAATAGCTATTGCGTGTGGTATTTTTCAAAAAGTCGCTAGCACGTTTACTGTATTGAAAATTTTTAATTGATCTGCGAGAGGCAAAGTGTGTGTGTGTAAATGCGGCGATATTTTACATTTACAAGGAGTGTATGATGTATTAACACGTCGATTGATTTGATTGTAAAATTATGAAAGGTGTCAGCTTTTTAAGTTTGCTGTTTTTGACTGTGATAAGCGATTTCATAACGAGGTAGAGCGTTTGGAATTTGTCAATAAATAATGATGGAAATAAAAAATTGTGTTTTAATTTGAAAAATTTACATTTTCTAACCTTGCAGCCATTACTGCTCCCTGTAGTTCCATTCTTGAAACTCAGTTTCTTATTCATGGGACCGAATTACATTTAAATGCCATGAAGGAGACGTCAAATTCATTTTTATAGACTCTACTGCAGTGAATGCTTGTTCACTTCCATCACAAAATACGTGTAATTGGATATTTTCTATACATTTTGCATAAGGAAAGTATTGACGAGGAATTTTAAAGCATTCAAGTTTTTTCAGATTTTCAAGCCACTTCCTCCATTTGTTTAAGATATCTTTCGAAACCTTTTAGTTCCATTCAATTGATTCCTTCCAACACTATTGCATTATAAGCCTTCTGGTGATTACTAAAGGTGAGAGAAACCCAATGGGGTCAAAGAGGGTCATTACAATTCGGAGAATCTCTTTTTGTTGGTACCTTTGTGCCAGCTAATAAATCAGATGGAATTTTCGAAAATTTAAATTGGAATACAAAAATATCTTCTTCTATATTCTAAAAGAGTCCTAGAATTATTTCAAGTTTCTTAGAGTCCATATTAAACATTTTTCTTTCTGTTCTATATTCTCTGGGTATACTCTCTATGAGTTCGGAAGAGTTACTGCACCAATTGACCATATCAAATCCGCCAAATTTATGTGCCTTTATTACAGAATTTACAGTGGCTATTGCTTCTTTCGGTGAATTTTTGCAGTTGAGATAATCGTCGACGTAGTGTTGTTTGAGCATTGTATTCATAATATTGGGATGTTCACTTTGAAATCGTGAAGCATTGTAATTTTTAACAAACTGGGCAATAGATGGCGAACATACTGCATACCACATACTTTGATTACTATACGGGGCAAGAGAGAGGTCCGACACGCACAACAGGGCGCGGCCATTTTGAACCCTATGACACAGTTTTTAGCTAAAGAATCAGATCGCTCACTCTGCGTTGGCACTTTTTATCTCAATATTCCAGTTTATACACTGCGCAACTCAGATAATACAATATATGACAACCGCCTATAATAAAACAGCAGTCTTCTGCGTATCCTGAATTTGTATCCCTGGAGTGGATGTTATTTTGGAACTTTCAACTGGTCCGAGTGAGCTAACTGATTCTTTAGCAATAAACTGTGACTCCAAAAATAATGTTCACTGACACTGACAGCAGCAAGCAAAATATCAGGTGCGTTTTAATCATCCGCTTCTGCTTCCGGAATTGTCAGTTCAGTCGTTCTAACCTGTCAGATTAAAACAAGAAAACCGACAATTCCGAAGCAGAAGCGGATGATTAAAACGCACCTATTAAAAATATTGCGCCAAAATGTAGGCAACACGTAATAAGGGTTCAAAATGGCGGAGTTTTCTATCTCCTTTTAAAAGGCACTCAGAAAGCTGCGCAGTGCGACCATTCTCCGTATAGTAAAAGAAAATCAAAGTATGTGTTTCATACACATCGGGCTCTTTCTCTATCCATGCCTCTAAAGAGAAATCGTTGACATGTCATATCTTCCTTTCTAATATATACCTGTCATTTCTCTAATGTCGCCACAAAAGGCATATTTGTATTCTCGAAATAACGATTGCCTAGAATTATTGTAATAGTTTTCAACTTTAAAATGTTCTTCTATCATTTCGGTTAAATATTTATCATCATGTGTACATACATTAACAGAAAATGTTGAATTTCCCTTTTGATAGGGGCCATGTACAATCCATCCCAGTCTGGTTAAACTAAAGGCAGGTTGATTTAATACTGGATGAATTATTTTTTGTGGATACAATAAATGTACATTATCTTGCCCAATAAAAAGTTTTGGACTGGCATGTTTTACACTTTTCAAGATAGTTATATCAAGATAATCATATTTTGAACATGAATATTCCGCATTAAATTTCTGTGAAGGAAGCGTTAAATTTTTGATAGTTTTTGCATTTTTTATTTTATATTTTTGAATTTCTTTTCCTGCTTGTGCAATGTCAAAGTTTACAGATCTGGAGTCGGCAACATTGAGATATTTCATTAGCCCACTGAAGACAAATTGGATCAATCGGACCTTCTAACTCCAAACTATCTGCGATATCATCTATTAAGGTAATAGTCGATTTAGTTTTGGTAGTTAATGTACTCTCCAACCGTTTTTCAAAAAGAGTACTTTCTATGTTCTGGTGGTTGTCCAAACTACTATCCTGTACATCCTTTGCATACAGCAAGAGAGCTCCTTCTACCCAACCTTATTCTCCACCACAATGTAAGATACATATTCTTTTTTCTCGAGATGAAGGAGTGTCTACATTACATACATTAGATTGGTTAAAAGCACAACGTAAACACAATCGCTATGAGTGACGTTGCTTAAAGACCGCCCACTGTGCGCGACATCTCACCTTTAGTTGGGTATATCGTGAATACTACCTGTTTCCTTATTCCGCTGGTTAAAATGCACACCCTTAAATTGAATGTTTTAATCCTACAGGTACCTTACACTTTCACTTTTATTACAATGTTATTGAGACAATCTGTTTTTCCGAATACGAAAATAGAAATCGACTTCTCAGCGTTTTAAAATAATTAATACAATTATTTATCAAACCTTTAGTATTATTGAGAGATTTCAAATACTAACTTTCAATTCATCAATTATTTTTTTTCCGATGCCTCATAGTCATTCTTACGAAATATTAATGTCATGTTTGTTCCTTAAACAGAAAATTTTTAAAGTCCATTTGGGAGCACCGTCCCTGTTCCGGCTAATACACAACCTTCCTTCATGAGTAAAGAGAGACGATTTTCTACTATAAATTGCAATAGACTATAGGCAAAGATACTAATTATTTTTAGAATTTGATTTTTAATTCAGGGCTACACTTTGTTCAGCGCATAAAACATTTCCGCTGAATATCATAGGTTTTCTGAACCTGTAGTTTTGAAATCATGTACAACAATGTATACTAGAGGATACTAGAAGAAGTAAAATTGTTACAGTAAAAAAGAAAAAATAGAATAAAATTTATTAAAAAAAAAATACTAAAATACGTCTTGTTTAACATTGTCTTTAAAATCTTTCATCTCTCATGGTCCATGTAATTCAGGTACAACGAAATTTTTGTCCTCGACCTTACATTCTTCTTCCCAATTTTCTGGAATAACGTTTTTTGTGAGTTCCTTAAGTTTAGTCAGCGGACAAAAATGATCACAGCCTGGTATTGTTAATTTAAATGGCGGTGCTGCAGTGACGTTCCTCAAATATATCTAAAAAATATTTTAATATTCAATTATTACTAAATAAAAAATGTTTAAACTGCAACTTAAAAATTTAAGGGTGTTTATATATTCATAACATAGGCAATTTTGGTATCGAAAGATATATGCTGAAAATAAAAGCACGTAAAATCAATTTAATAGTCGATGAACGCTAAATAAGCGATTCAACCTTATCGTCTTAGGCCCTCATTGGAAAACTCATAGTCATGACTTGTAGCATGAAACAATACCACGTTCTGAATAAAAATAAAATCCTTAAACATATATTGTTACGCAGCACCCTACAGTAGCCTACAACTGTTATAGGAAACGTGCTAATAGAAGAAGAAATATGTCACTCATCACCCTACAGCGTGCTGCGGTCGTCATAAGAAAAAGTACCAGTAAAAGAAGATAGAATAGTCCAGAAATGTCTAGAAGTATCATTACTTATCAAGAACAATCTAGAGATTTTCGAGAAGCTACATAAGTCGATGATCCTGACTTCAGTTTTATGATAGACGTTATACGTTAATGTTATCAGTTGTATTGTTATTGTTGAGTTGCAATAAATTGAGATACCAAAAACCTGCGTAACACTGGTGACAGCGGTGGGATACAAAATAGAAGTTCATGGTAAATACTAAATCCACTGAGTGAGAGGCAGGCATGTATACTTCAGGCCCACCAACATGGTTTTTGAAGATGGAAGAGGAGAGAGTAAGGCGAGAAGAGGAAAAGAAAAGGCGTATAAAGGAAGAGGAGGAGGAAAAGGAAAGGCGTAGGAATAAAGAAGAGGAGGAAAAGGAAAGGCGTAGGAAGGAAGAAGAGGAGGAAAAGGAAAGGCGTAAGAAGGAAGAGGTGAAAATTATAAATGGTTTGATAAAAATTCAGGAAAATTTCAAGCAAGAGGTAGGTCAGCTAAACTGTCGAGTAGATATCTCAGCCGAAGAACAAGAGAACTTAAAAACAAGTATGGAAATGTTCAAGGGCTTTGACAATAGCTAAAAGTTCTTTTCTTGTGATGCAATAATTCTCAGCTTTTCCTAAGGTCTTACTAAAATACGCAATTACTTTCTCTTAGGTGTTGGGGTGGTCACAAATGTGGAGAAAAGTATTAAAAAGTGTCAAAAAGTGTTAAAAAGTGTTAAAAAGTGTTAAAAAATGTTAAAAAATGTTAAAAAATGTTAAAAAATGTTAAAAAATGTTAAAAAATGTTAAAAAATGTTAAAAAATGTTAAAAAATGTTAAAAAATGTTAAAAAATGTTAAAAAATGTTAAAAAATGTTAAAAAATTTTAAAAAATTTTAAAAAATGTTAAAAAATGTTAATGTTAAAAAGTGTTAAAAAGTCTCAAAAAGTGTTAAAAAGGGATGAAATGGGTTAAAAAGTGTAAAAAAGTGAGGGTAAAAACATTTCACGTCAACGCCAAAGGAATACTAAGGCCCTATAGGTACCTATTAATGATTATAAAAATTGTTTTAATTAATTCAGTAAAAATCATGTATATTACAGTAAAGGACGTTTCACCGAAAATGCCAAAATTATAATACCATAAAGATTAGCTATACTAGATTATTTTTATGTTTTACCTCAACACCAAATTCGTTGGTTGTAGTATCCTTATACATTTCGAATAAGATTGTTATGGCATAATCTGGTATCTGTTCGTCCCAAACTTTCAGTGTCCTCAGTAAATTAACTATGGTACCATCATGTCCACCGTACAAAAAAGCTTTCTTGGTGTTTGCTCCATTAGATTTTTCAGTCCAATCTCCTATCAGTTTTTTCAATAATACACCTGTAATATAAGTATAAGTAAATTATTTATTATGAGAAATCACAAATAGTTTAATTCACACATCATTTTTTAAATTTATCCACGTGTAAATCCTTAAAGAACGTCATTATAATGATAATGAATGACCAGTAATAGGGATGGCAACGAAATATAGTTGTTTTGAAAATATCGATATACAGGGTGTTAAAAAAAAGTGTCACAAAATGAAATGGTGAATAGTATGACCCAAAATAAGCAGAAAAGTCTTAATAAATATATGACCGCAAATTAACGGTTTCGGAGATACGGACCATTTTGTGTTTATAACAATTTTTTATTATTATAAAAAAACAATGATATTTATAAACAATCAATAACAACATAGAGTTAAATGAGATGTTCAAAGTGCCCTCCCTCCATTTCAATGCATTGCCATTTGCACGACCGTACATAAAATGCATGTCAGCTAATTCAATATTATTGTAAACAGGCATAACGAAAATTAATAAAATTATTCACCCACAACAAAATAATAACTGCAAATAGTATCTATGAAAAAACATCGGTAGACTCCGATAAGAAAAGCAAGTTTTTGAGAATGAAAAAAGATAATCAAAAAATGATACAAAACACAAAACACTCCGTATCTCTGAAACCATTCATTTGCGGACATATGTTTATTAAGACTTTTCTGCATATTTTGGCCCATACTACCCCCGTTTTATTTTGTGACACTTTTTTTTTAACACCCTGTATTACACAAATATATCTATATTTTACTACCGATATTTCGAATGAATATCGATATAATCTTTTCGATATATTGAAAACATTACTATAATAGTTAAGAGTGCGCTCGTGCGCATGCGACATTGGTAATTTCAGTTTTATTTTCTGTTTTCTAAAAGGTTTCAAATAATGTATCATCAACACTTTTATATAAATATTTAAAGTTCCAGTCAGTTTGGCTCTTCTATATTTTTTAAATAATAAATTTTTGTTATGATACCTATTTTAAAAAATGAATAAAAAAATCGCATTTTAACTATTAAAAAAAGTACTTTTGTTCATTTCATTAAGAACATATCGATATGTTCAAAATATTGATATTTTTATTAGATATTTCGAATGTACAGTCTGTTCGCTATACTTACGCGGGTTTCGGATTAACAAAATTATGCAAATTAGTCATTGACAACCAGTTCCAATAAGCCTCTTCCCAAGAAATTAGGTAAAATTGCCCTAATGGTCAGATTTAAATTAAAATAACATTAGGGTAGGTACTAAATTTGTTACAAATATTGCACTTGAATTGATTCTTTGCAAGTGTTGACATTGTATGTATATTGTAAATTTAGTGGAAATTTTAAAAATGCCTAGACGTGTGTTAGATGTAGATAGTCTAATTTGTAGTGTACATAAGTATTTTACGGATAAAAAAGAAAATGGCGGTCCTTTAAAATCGGTAATGTCTGTACAACAACGCGTATGCGATGCTCTAGGAATTAGTGAAACCAAATTAAGAGGAATATTACAAAATCACAATAGTGAACTGCCGAAAGAAGATCACCGCAAAACTTGCCCATCATTGAAAACGAAAGATATTCCAGATGGAAAGAAATTTTAATTTCGTGATACCATTTATCGAATGAGGGCCAACAAAGAACATGTGACCTTAAATACAATTCTCTCGGAATTAGTAGATAGAAAATTTGACGACATTGGCAGAACAAGTCTATGGCAAGTGATACATAACTTGGGTTTCAAATTTCAAAAGGAGGATAACAGAAAGGCCCTTTGTGAAAGAAGTTCTGTCGTGCACAAGCGAATTAACTTTCTAAGAAAATATTCTAAATTTAAAGAAGAAGGGGCGAATTTTATATATTTAGACGAAACATGGATATTTTCTAGGGGTACAACCAAGAGAATATGGCAAGATGATAACGTAAAGTCCATCAAAGATACCGATGGAGAAGGGAAGCGACATCGGGTTTTATAGAAGGTGCTGATTTATTATTTTCATCTAAATCAAAATCCAGTGACTATCATGATAATATGAACACAGAAATGTTTGTAAAATGGTTGCATGAAAAAATTCTCCCAGGTTTAAGTGAGCCCAGCGTAATTATTTTAGACAATGCACCTTACCATTCTGAAGTATGAAACAAAAGTCCAACGAATTCTTAGACTGTTGATAAAATTAAAGAATGGTTGACAAAGGAACATATACCATTTCCTCAATATATTTTTATTAAAATCAGAATTATTACGCTTGGCAAATGTACACGCAAAACCAAAAAGCTTTGTTGTGGATCAGATTATTGAAAGTTACGGTCATCAAGTTTTACGTCTGCCACCGTATCATTTCCAGTTTAATCCCATCGAATATATATGGGGAATAGCAAAACAATATTATGACAACCATATTGAGCCTAATGGTTATAGTGACGACGCAGTTCGGGAAACTTGGCGAAAAGCACTTTCAATTGCAACTCCAGAAGTGTGGCGGAACTGTATATCCAAATGCGAGAAACTAATAGAAGATTGGTGGACTCGTGAAAATAAAATAAACGAAATAAGTCCAATCATAATAACAATTAATGGTGATGACAGTGATGATGATGACGATTATGATATTTTGGATGATAATGACTGATTTTCATTTTTGTTGGCAAGTTCAATTTTTTTATTTTTCATTTGAAATTCTCTACATGGAACAAATTTTTATGTTAGAAAATATTTTATTTGAGCTAAATAACCCTCTTATTATACATAGACCATATTTTCTGTGTGAAGTGTAATATAAAATTATTATTAGGTTTGTAATAGCCACATTAGACTCCATTAATGAAGAAGTTTAATTCTGCTCTCAATTATACAAAAGATTCACAATTATTATTTAATTAAAAAGTTGTACATTATTTTTCATTTCATTTAACCAGTTGATATTTCCCCAAAGTACAGGTCAAACTTTCGGGTACTTACCTGGAAATACTCATAAAATTTTTAATCCGAAACCCGCGTAAGTATAGCGAACAGACTGTATCGATATATTATACGATTCGATATATATATATCAATATATTTTTTTATTTTGCCATCCCTAAGCCATTAATAAAGTGTTGGGCGATACTTTACGTACTGTTATTGAATTATAATATTGGAAAACTGATATTATTTACATGGTTTTCTGTCTATTTTATAAATGTTTTCCAGAAAAATATTAAAATTTCAAATATAGTAATGAGTAAACATAATCTCATTTATTTGTCTTACTATTTTTTTTCTGAATTGACGTTGACGTTTCTATTTTTAAAGATTTACACGTAGGTGACTATTTTAAAATGGTTTACTACGATAATGCCTTAATTTTTGTGTTTACCAAATGAAAATACATACCACCTATTAACCGATTCATTTTGTCATTGTAAGCATTAATGACAAAACTTTTCACTGTAGGAATGTACATTTTGTCTGGAAAATATTCCTTTGTCCATACTGGAAGGGTTAAATTGAATCCTTTCTGAAAAAATATTGACAAACGCAATTAATTCTGTCCGGGCAGTATAATATTTTATAATAAATAAATATTTTGAAATTTTCAGAAAAAATTAAAAATAACTGTGCTGTTTGAAATTATATTAATATTTCAATTTTAAAATTATTATGGCATAAACTAATAGACAACATAAAAAATAAAAAAAATAAATAATCTTTTTATCTAAATCCAATAAAATATAAAGACGGCCCTGATTAGCTTGCATAAGACGACCCAGACTACCGTAAGGTCAACTACTTTTTACTCTTTATCCGGACATGTCATGGTCATATCGTGGTCATGTCATGGACATGTCCGTCAGAATAAAATATGTTTATATTTCATATATGTATTAGTATTTTTACCTCAGATAGTAGAGTCGTATAAATATCTTGAACACCTTCAAAATCTTCAGTTTTCTGACCGGTAACGTCAGTCAAATTTTTAAAAAGATCCTCATAGGCTTTAAACATCTTCTGAACTTCTTCTGACTGTATTACCTTTTGTTTTTCCTCATGATATTTGGGACACGGCTTTCTTACAAGTAATAACTAGAAACATAATGCAATAAATCTAATGTTTTTATACTCGTAGGTTTATAAAAGATTAAATACTTTCATACTGAAGGTTCGGAAGCTACCTAGTCCCCTATTTATTTTTTATAAGAATAATGATATCGGCGGTATTTTATGTTACATTTTTTATACAGGGTGTCCGTGCCAAACCTTTGGATGGTTTTATTTCTAGTAAAATTAAAGTTGAATTCCATATACTTTTCATTTATAGGTAGCTTGACTTTTAGTAATAAATAAAATATTCTATCAAAATTTTGAATTAAAATGTATCAGAAAGTTTTTTATTGTTAATGAATAAACTTTAGTGTCCTCTTTCGCAGAACAGAAGAAAATCAGAATCCAATTAGTGTTTTAGTGTTGGTTCAAAATTTTAATATACGAGTATATACTACTTACCCTAATCATCCTCTTAGCGTTACATTCCTTTCGTTAATTTAACTCACCATATCTTGTTCCAAAGGTTCCGAATGAATAGGTATCGGTTGCCATTCCAAAGGTCCCCATACTTGATCCCCTTTAGGAGGCCAAAGACCGGCATTAACAAGTTGCATACTGGCTTTAGCCCTATCTACGTCTGTTGACTGCGTGTAGTATTCGTCGGGTGAGTACCGTTCACCTAAAAAATTTCCATATCGATCCCTGAAGTACTGACCAATTTTGTAAAGCGTAAGCTTCCCAGACTGAAATAATAATTTTCGTTAAAATGTTAAAGATTATGGAAAGTATTAAAGTATAGATGAAATTGATTTGAATAGGAATGTGGGCTTGCACCCCTCTCCTACCAATTTATCATTATTTAGACCAATTTTCTAGTTTGACCATTTTTAGTAGACCTCATAGGTAGAAAGTAGCTATTTTTCTTCTAAAAGTGTAAGGAATCACAATCTTGATAGATCTTTGTAGTAGAATTGCACTTAACAACATTGGCACAAAATCTTCGCTACCAAGCCTATGTTAATAGACCCTGTTAATAGGTCTACTAGTTCCTTAGGATTGCTGTTATTCAAATCCTTAAATGAACATGATTTTTTTATCAATATCACTGCTCATGGTTATACAGAACCTGGAGATTGTAAGATTTCTTCTCAGGCTAGCAAATAAGTCTCCTCATTCAACGCTTATCTATTTGACTACTTAATTCTGTTAAGGTTTTCATATAGTCCCATATAACCTTTAAGTGTAATGCAGTGGCAGTTTGTCTGTAAGAGCTGCACGGCTACAGCCCCCAGTACAAGGGGAAACCAATTTATATAAATATAAAATGAATATGTATTACGTTATCTACCCATACTATTTTTAATAAAAAAATATAGTCCACGTCTATTTATAAATATTATGCGGATCCTTCTGTTTTGGTTGTTTCAATCATAATTTGACAGACTCTCTGGCGTTTAATATATTTTCCGTACCCGTGACCTATTCACTGACGTTCTAGCTGTCTGCAAACAAGAAAAAGCTGAAAGTCATAGATCCCTCAATTTAGATGTTAGAGCGGTTAGATCGAGCGATCCAAGCTAAGGTGTAAGGCAACGTGTTGAAGGCTGAATGACCGCTGGAAAAGTGGTTGCGAATGTTTCTCTGTGGGCACCTGGTGAAATCCTCTTGTTTCCAGAATGAGCAAGAATTTAAAACAAAACCGGCGGGACCACACCGCCTCCAAATCTGATCGAACGGAGCCTACCATTTGAAGCGATCAACATCCCTCAACCTCTCTAGTCAGATAACCGCACAAGAAAGAAATGGGTAAAATAAGACAAGAAGAGGAGCACCACCGCTCCAGCTTCTTCATCCTCCTCTCACCATTCATCAGCGAGGGAAGCTCCTCTCGAAAAAGAATACAAACAAAAGATACCTTCCTTACTTGAGCTAGGACAACCTGGTGAAAGGGATGACCCACTGAGGCGTGAGGTAGTATCTTCACTAACTCGATCAAGGTGTGACATCGGAGGAAGCGAAAAAAAAATCCGTGGAACACAAATCCCAGGGAAAGGAAAGCAAAAGCAATCCCAAGTATCCTAAGGATTCCAAGGATCCTAAAAAAAGCGGGTCTGTAGCAACAAGTGGCTGCTACCTTCGCTTCTGGCAGTTATGCAACTGTCGTCCAGACGAAGCGGGCTGCGATCCTACCTAAGGGGTTCTTGATATTATCCTCAGTACGAACGAACAATCCTACTGGAGGAAGTTATAGTATAAGAGATTTTCGCTGGATGGGAACATAAGCTCTAATTAGGAGGAATCTATTTCCGGCCAGGAATAGTTCTAATCGACTGTGAAACCCCACAGTCAGCAGAACGGCTCAAGATAAAAATCCCACAACTTTGCAGCTAGAAGGGAGTGAAGTTGGATGTATGTGTGGAAGATGACATTCCGAAAGCACATATAGCTACACTTTTTCTCCCAAGAAGCCAAGGACAGACTATAGAGAAACTTCTTCAGTTCATAGAAGCACATCATGTGGGGCTATAGACCATACTGTGGAAGATCTTCAGCCAAAGAGACGGGTGCAAAAAGGCCAGATCCTTACACCATCCATTATCGATTCGGGAAAATCCCCTACAGGGCCTTTAAAAGAAAAACGAAGTAAAGAAACTGGGAGAATACACAGAAGCAACTTCCAGTACTTCCAAAGATGAGAATGATGTATTGAACATAGAGAGCCTTAATCTCTCAACTCTACGTAGACTCATCTGAGCATGTAAAAATAGAAGAAGTAGAAGAGGGCATATGGAACTCACCCTCACCGATGGGGACAACACCTTCATCGATGGAGAGTAAAATGGCGAGAATTGACATCGCCATCACGCAAAGGAAGCCTCGGCTGTGATTTCCAGGACATTCACTAGAACAATTAGGATTCGTACTGATCCAGGATCCGGGAGCCTACGGAAACCAGAGGACTTGTATGTAAAGATGCAAAGGTAATTTATCACACTAGTGATGAAGCATCCAGAATATGTAAGAAATAATATCAAATATTTTTGTATTTCAGAATAATTCATAACGGGGCATTAGATCCCAATTCAAACTTACCTCGAATTTGGAATGAAGCGGTAAGACGTAGTATAGCTTCTAGCTAACAAGGTTTTGAGAAGGATAATTATTTGAACCGACGAAACGCGATTTACCAATTGTGGTATTTTTAATAAGCATAATTACTATATTTGGAGTATTATAAACCCTCGCTTAGTAAAACGCATAGAAGACCGCAGCACGTGTGGTGCGGTATTCCAGGTATTTTTCTGGTTTTATTTATTTTAATTTTTTTTTAGTAATTTTAAATAATCTTCTTTTCTATGCTACGAAGTAGAATTTTGCCTGAAATTAGAAAAATTGTGCCGGAAATATTTTAAGGAGAGCCACAAAGAGTAATTACCGCAAAAATAACGTTGTGTAGCAATTACTAACATTTGTTAATTGTCCCCATCCGACAGGATACAGTGGATCATCTTTATACGGATCCTTAGGATATGTACTAGCCGGGGTTCTAGCACCATGTCTCATAACCTAAAAAGAAAGAAACATGTTAAATATGTGTATGTAACAGATCAATCTAGCTCGTAAGTTGAAAAATAAAAATTCCGAAAAACTGGGTAATTTTCAACTTTATCGTACAAATACGATAATTATCGTACGTCTGGCAACGTTGCTCTCACCGCTCACATGCTGGTTTATAATTTTAGGCGAGTTACATGCGCAGCAAGGCCAAATTGTCAAAGTACTTTTACACGACTAGGTACTCCTTCAGTTACTGAATACGGGTCCAGAAAACTCGAAGGGCTTGGAGTAGGCGTAGAATTAGATACGTTGAAAATATTAAATTGAAATATTTTCAAAGCTTCCTTTTTAATTAATTAATTAATAAGCAAAATGACACTTTAACGTTAAAAGAACTTGCTTACAAGTATAAGCGATGAATTTCAAAACTCTCTGTAACCATTTTTCATATTAATATTAGATAAAAAAGACCAGAGATATAACATACTCTGGTGCTCAACCTGCGCAAATGTTGCCAATTTTTAAAGAAAGGTTAATGGAGTGGGGGACCTGGGTGGATATCCGAACTCTGTGACAGGGACGGTCTTTGTTTATTAGTATCATAATGAACTATTAGATTTACTTACAATATTTTTAATGGAATTTTGTATTATGAAATAAAATGAACGTGATTTTTTTAATATCAAACAGATGCTACGACATTTTTTGTAAAGAGAAGACCTTTTATAGAATATTTCGTTTGCGTTTATTTACTACAGACTTTTCTGTAAGAGACTACAGTAAAATGTTGAAATAGAATATTGTTAATCGAGCAAGAAATGGTACTCATTGTCTACGAGTATTATAAAAAAGTATGTGCGCAGGCGAATACTGCAAATCAAACCTTGTGAGTCGAACATTATATTTTATCTACGGCTATCACATAATATTAAAAATTAGTCAAAATGAGAAAATGCTGTTTTGTATTGTAACCTCAGAACAAGGTATATTGAAGCTTCTTTCTTTAGGAATATTAATTAATATAGAGGATAAGTCACATAAAACTATAGAAATGCATGTCTGAAACCAGATAACATTTTAAAATTTAAACCAATTAAAAGCCATTTAATCGCTAGGGGTGGGTGATTATCAAAATAAATTATCGATCATATAATAATCGATTATTTTCGATCAATCGATTATTTTCATACATTCTTTTTTTTTTCGTAGTTCCTTTAAAATCGACTACTTGATTATATTTGAAAAATCAAAAATAATCGATGAATTAAAAAGCCAATTAACCGATAATCAGTGTTTACAAAAAATAATAAACGAATTATTTTTCATTTTAAATAATCGATTATTTTCAAATAATCTATTTTTTTTTTCGTATTTCCATTGATACAGATTATTCGATAATATTTGAAAAATCGAACATAATAGATTAATTAAAAAGTCGATTAACCGATAAATCGATTTAAAAAAAAAACGAATTAGTATTTTAAATATTCTGTTTTTCGTATTTCCTTTAAAATCGATTATTCGATCATCTTTGTAATATCGAAAATAAGAGATTATTCGAAAATAATCGCTTAATCGAAAATAATTAGGCGAAAATAATCAATTATGAAGCAGATTCTACGATAAATAGATTTTTCAAAAAAAAATAACCAAATTATCCATTATTTTCAAATAATCTTTCTCGAAACTAATGAATAAATTCAAAATAATCGATTAATAAGAAGCTGATTGATCGATAAATCGATAATTCTAAAAAATAACCGAAATATCGATTATATAAAATAACTGATTATTTTCGAATAATCGATTCTTTTCATAATTTTTTTTTGTATATCTTTTAAAACAAATTAAGTATTCGAATAACTTTGAAAAATCGAAAATAAATGATTAATCGAGAATATTCGGTTAATCGAAAATAATCGATTAAATAAAAAAGCCGATTAAACAATAAATCGATTTTTCTAAAAAAATTGAATATTTTCAATCAATCGGATATTTAGAAAAAATCTACTTTCTTTTTTTAATTCCATTAAAATTGATTATTCCATTATCTTAAAAAACGAAAAAAATTATGGAAAATATTCGATTAATCGGAAATAATCGATTAATTGTAACGGATAAATCGATTTTCATAAAAAAAAATCGATTATTTTTGTAACCCATATCGGTCGCTTGCTTTTATCCAAGCATTTAGCTCCAAAATTTAGAGTTTCGGATTTTTTGATCCTGTTATCTTTGAAACCGCATTCGATTGTATAATAAATAATAAATATTGCTAGAATTTAGATTTTTTTAGTAAACGAAGATTTTTTTGTTTAGGTGTTTATAATGTAACATTTTATTAACAATATGACCAACTTCCGTAACTTTAGTATTTTTTTGCTTATACTGTGCGTTTTACTTTGTGTTAAGACTCAAGATTCAAATGTCACTTCCGATTTAACCGGAAATAAGATGAACCTTGAAATTTTAAGTAGGTGATCCTGTATTTCATCTAATATTCTTATAAAAATACTTTTTAAATTTTCGCTAGCAACTATGCTTCTTTACTTCTTATTTATCTACCAAAAATGGCCAAAAACCACCATTAGTAAATATTTTTATAAAACTACTTTTTAAAAACAAAATTTCGTTAGTAACAATGCCTATTTACTTCTTATTTAGATTAAATGTTTAACATTTTGCCCTTTTGTAAATTTATACATAATAAAATCTGTTTTCTGAAATATGTATTTGATGCTTAATTGAAACCCCTTGATGCGGATCTGAAGTATTCAGCTCAAAAGATCATGGCTGCTTTATGTCGAAACGTTAATAAATATTTACCGCTGAAAACGAATATATTTATTATTTTTCATAACATTGGCACATATTATTTGTATATACAATCTTTCACGATACATTGTGACATTTTTAACTTGAAATTGAATAACTAAAACACTTTAAATTAATTTCTAATAACACTAACAAATAATTCAAAAAACGGCGGTCCATGATGATTTACTCACGCGGAGACGAGCGTAGAATAGAAATGTCGGAGCAATTCGGGTGGCGTCGTGGACACAATGGTTTTTAATTGGTGGGTTACTTAGGCTTGGAATAGATAACGTGTGCGATGTGGAATGTTACATCTCTGGTCTCTTTAATCTAAGATATTAATACACTTCTAGCTTATATTTTTAATAATACTTACAATGTGGACCATTTGCAAAGATTTTCTATCATCTCCACTAATTTGAGCTGCTTTAATGCCAACTATTAGAAATATTACGAAAGATGCTACAGCCATAACGCTACCAGCTATAATTTTCCACTTTCGCATCTAAAAAATAGTATAAAATTATTAAATGAATATTTACTAGGATATGTACTTTAAGCATTTTTATTCGAATAATATGTAAAATACCTAATTACTAATATTTGATTACAACTATGTGGGTAATATAGGCAACAACGGGCAAATCTCGTCCATATAGTAATAGTCATTAATTTATACATCAGTAGTCATTAAGACGGTTTTCCACTAAACGGACCGTTGAGTCTATGTTTTGTTTGTGGAACTTGAAACTAAGACACTAAGAAACTAAGACAAACCCAAAACTCTTGTTTTCATCAAGCGGACTACATTTTGTTCCAGTTTTGTTTTTGTTTTCGGCTCTTTTCCACTGGTTGTCGCGAGGAAGTCAGAACACATTTTTTCGATATTTTTATATTTACTTTTTAAGATAAATCCAAACTGAAAATACATATAAAATTAGAATAAAAAATGTATGTGACATCATAGAAACCTAAAAATGACAATACTTGGATTTGTTCTAATACACAGATATACGGAGTGGCCCAAAAGTCTGGAAACGGCCAATTATCTCTTAAATTGCTAGTCCTAATTGTACAAAATTTGGGGTACACCTATTTTGGGATACGGAGATTCCAGATTTCATATTTGCAATGTTGCCAGATTTTCCGTTTCTCTTATATTATTAGTCACTTTGCTTTTTCAAATTGATCACCCTGTATATTAAGTGATTATTGGAATCTCCGATTCAATACGAGTTCAACGATATGTAACACTTATGATTTTATGTAGTCTGGAAGGTCTTAAATAAATAAAACAATCATGGAGAAATGTGGTAAATGCACCCTATCATCGATTAGGGTACTGTCAACTCACAAATGAAGCACATTTAGAACACTTGATAAAGTAACCGTTATGTTAAAAATGGTGCAATCTTTCAATTGTTACGTTTTAATGTAGTTGAAAATAGTTTGTATTAAAAAATTTATGAGACAATTAGGCGTTGTCAGACTACTGTTTTATTTATTTAAGACCTTCTAGACTACATAAAATCATAAGTGTTACATATGGTTGAACACGTATTGAATAGGAGATTCCAATAATGACTTAATATACAGGGTGATTAATTTGAAAAACTAAAGTGACTAATAATATAAGAGAAACGGAAAATCTGGCAACATTGCAAATATAAAATCTGGAATCTTCGTATCCCAAAATAGATGTACCCAAAATTTTGGACAATTAGGACTAGCAATTTACAAGATAATTGGCCGTTTCCAGACTTTTGGGCCACTCTGTATATTCTACTAATAAATATACTTATATAAATTTATTCAGCGTTTCAAAAAATAGATTACTTATCTATAAAAAAATACGTTACTTACCTATACCAATTTAGTACTAAATCTAGAATACACAACATTACCGTTTCCAGTAAACAAATTCTACTTTTAAAACACGTCGAAACCTTTTGATTTTACCGCTTCCGAGCGGGACTTGAGAAACAAAACTCCAACTGTCGCAAAAAACGCCAGTCTTCAAAATATTTACATAAAATTGAAGTTTTTTTTCGACACGAGTTTGTGTTTAGTTTTTGTTCGGTCCGTTTAGTGGAAAACCGCCATTAGACGTACAAATTTTTATTACAGATGGACCTACTACACAGATTAACCACAACAGATGCGAAAACCGGCAAAAAATCAAATGATTTCGAAGTGAGATTTATGTGACTTTGAACTTTAAACGGGTATGGCATAGGTGTTGCTAATTTTAATTATTTTCAGTCTTACTAAAAATGACTTTCTTCTAAACATGCGTTTTGAATGCCAGGGTTGGTTTAGGTAGTTAATGTTTTAATGTATAGTAGCAGCACGAGTATGTTAAAAAAGTTGTAAATAGGAGTTTAATTTTTAAATATTTTAAAAGAAAAAGAATATGATTTGTATTATTATTTTCAAAATTTTATTAAAGCTAAAAAGTTATAACAAGCAACGAATTGTAATGTAAAAGTTTTAAAAAATTGTTAAGCGGGCTTAGTCATCAAATCCAGTTAATAAGCCTCCATTTTCCCTTTAATGTGTTGAAATAAATAATTAATGGCCTATTAACGGGAAATTGCAGGCCATGTGTCAGGTACAATTCGATAGTGCCTCTTTGACCAGCAGTACTGTTTGAAGTATAAATATAAAACCGAATGCATTCCAATATACATAGAATTAAAGAAAATGTCTATACTCGTTGAGTATGTAGCAAGTGATCATCGGTGTCTCCATCTATGAACGCGGGACGGAACCCTCCTGGACTCTTGACTGATGGGAGGGGTTAGGTCTGCGGTAGTTAAAAGCCTTTTGACTTTTACCTCGTCTTACCCAATCCTGTTACTTACCCTTCATATGGCCATCATCAACCAACATAATGCTGAGCCACTATCGAAAGGACAAAAGTAGGCTTCGATTTTTTAATCGTCGTATTCATTTTCCCTTCAATTACGTGGCGTCATCAGCATACATAACTGTTGTTATTTCAGGATTGCTTTGTTCTTGCCTTATTTTCAATATACACAATTTATGACCTAGCTAACTGATAAATAACTTTCTATGAAATTAAGAGCTGTGGTATACCATAGTGGTGCAGTTTCTAAATTAATATGGTCAACACAGTCAAATGCAGCACTTAAGTCGTCAAAGACTCCTAAGAATTTTTCATTTTTCTCAAAAGATTTTTTAATTGAATTTGTAAGATATCTAATAGCATCTGCAATGAACCGATTTTTCCTAAAACCAACCTAGATTGAATTTAATATTTTGTATTTGTCAACATATTCTACAAGTTGCTTATGTATGATTTCAAACATTTTCGAGAACATAGGTAATATCGATATTTGTCTAAAATTTTAAGACTAACCTTTGGCATCTTTTTTATAAACAGGGAAAACTTTCGCGATCTTTAATAAGGAGGGAAATAGGCCTTCCACCAAACAGGTATTTATTATATCTACTAGTAAATCTAATAATAAATGAGGACATTTTTTAAACTTTTTTAAACACTATCTGCAATGACTATAAAATTAAAAAGTAGGTAGGTACTACTAGACAATGGTTGTATCTTATAAAGAAAAAGGAAAAGTCAAAGAATGGCCAGAAACATGTATCGCAGTCTGCATGACAGTCCTTTTATTCAAGTGAATGAAGCGAAAGAATTGTGTACCTAGGTATGTAAAGTAGTCTGTGAAGATTTCCAACTAAGTCACTCCTACAAGAAGTTTTAACTGTTTTGTGCCTTTTATATCAATTCTATAACGATCGAATATTAAATATCTAATCATACTTACAAACAGATCGAACTGCTGTCACAAAATAAGGAAAATTATTTGAAAATTGTTTTTAATTGCAATTTATATAAAGCATGCAAAATAAATTCAAAAACAATTTAACTGATAACAATAATGGATTGCAATAATGACCTTCAACATTGATTTTTAAACATCCTGCAAAAGAAAACTAAGAAATATTTCCCAATTAATCTTGGCTATTGCAGAGATGTTAATTAGTATCAAAATAAAAATTATTCAAATTTGTGTAAACAAATAATATTGGAAAAATAAACATACAAATAAAGAGTGTTCCATAAAAATTATTCCTAAATTATGCCTTGAAGTAATTTATAAATAATATACAATAGTAAGCAATAATACACGAATTTTATACAAAGGTACACAAATAGTACACAATAGTACATTAAATATGCAAATACAGAAATATTACACAAAATACATAAATACATTACAAATTGCACATCATAGTACACCAGCGGTTCACTACTCAAAATTTTACCCCTTCTTTGGTCAGTCCTAGTGGACCTTTGCTCGAAGTAGTGGACGAACTTATAAAAAGGCTAATATCTACAGACTTTTACTGCCTAGTTCGTACTAATGATCTAACGATCGTAAGATCGGTGTGCATACCAACTGCTCTAAACATTGTTGACGTGTGGTGCAGAGAGGAAGGAACTAACAGTAAACTCTCATAAAACCACAATAGGCAACTTCACAAAACGAAAGGTACTGACAGGACTAAAGTCAGAAGCTGGAATCATTCGACAGCTCAACGGTATTATAAGGCAAGCATGCTTGAGTGCCACGGGAGCCATGAAAAATACTTCAACAGCATCCCAACAAGTCACGCTAAACCTAACACCGCTATACATATTTATTCAAGGCGAAATCAGGTCTGTCACATTCAGACTACACAAAAGTCCATCACCCATAAGCAGTTTGCCCTTACAATATGGACATAACTACAGTAGGCTATATAAAGAGTTGGTAAACGACTAAATAATGGGAATGCCTTCAGACGAAATGCTCCCAAAGTATAGCTTTCAAAAGCAATATAAAGTAAGTATACCAGACAGGGAAGCGTGAACGGAAGGACCTCCTATTCACGCAGAATTCACCTGGTATACAGACGGCTCCAAAACCCATAAAGGTTCAGGAGTAGGTATATACACTATGTCCCAAATTGGTGCTGCATGTATTGCTATCTCGTATTATATAAGAGCTACAAAATCGGTTAAATGGGCAATGTTTCTCAGAATTCAATTACCATTTCAGAACTGCTATTACATTTTGTCAGTTATTTTTGGTTTTTGAATAAATAACGAAAAACCAAAATGGTGGGTTTTTGACAGTCCTCCGTATCTCGATAATTTGAAAACATACAGTATTTTGGTCTGGACATTCTATGGATACTTTTTTAAGGTCTTTACAATAAAAAATAAAACAAAAGAATATCTCCTTCCGTTTTCGAGATATTGACTATAACTTTGTTTTTTCTTATGGACGCCATATTGGATTTGTATTGCATTAAATAGAATTCTCAATTCCCTTTTCAAAAAGGTATCACAACATGGTACTTTCTTTCAAATGAATGCTGAAATAAATAAATCTATAGCCCAGTGATGGGTATTATGCCTGTTGAAAACTCCACAATTGGTAAATCGAGTTTCGTCAGTCCATAATATGTTCATGAAAAAATTGGCATTTTCTCACATATGTTGAATTCACAAAATCTTACTCTTCGGGGAAAATCATTTGCCGATAAACCTTATACAATCCTAATTTTGTATGGATGATATTTATTAACGTCCATTATTTGATCAGCGGATGACTTAGGGATATCTGTTTCATTACCAATTTTTATAACCGATGCTGTGGGATTATTATTAGTGTATTGTAATACAGCATCAATTCTCTCCTTAATTTAAATAGCATATTTATGATTTCTGGGTTTTTCAAAACTTCCATAATTTAGCAAATTTATTACCAGATCCCTAAAATGTCTTGCGTTTGGTTGATGCCGTTCAAGAAATTTATTTTGATAAATTTCTACAGCCGCTGTAGAGTTTCTGTGGGCTACGAAGTAAGTTTCTAACATGTCTATTTTTTTTTCATTGATATATTTGAAAATAATAACGTAACGGAAATTAAATTTAACAAAAAAAAATAACTATAATTTTACAGTTACAAAACATATTTTTGGCTCGCCTACTAGACCAAATTGAGCAGAGCAGCAAAATTAATTAGGAAATTTTTAGATTTATTTATTTCAGCATTCATTTGAAAGAAAGTACCATGTTGTGATACATTTTTGAAAAGGGAATTGACAATTCTATTTAATGCAATAAAAATCCAATATGGCGTCAATATGAAAAAAACAAAGTTATAGTCAATATCTCGAAAACGGAAGGAGAAATTGTTTTGCTTTATTTTTTATTGTAAAGACCTTAAAAAAGTGCCCATAGAATGTCTAGACCAAAATACCGTATGTTCTCAAATATTCGAGATACGGAGGACTGTCAAAAACTCACCATTTTGGTTTTTCGCGATTAATTCAAAAACCAAAAATAACTGACAAAATGTAATAGCAGTTCTGTAATGGTAATAGAATCCTGAGAAACATTGCCCATTTAACCGATTTTGTAGCTTTTATAATAACTGAGATAACAATATTTGCAGCACCAATCTGGGACACAGTGTATAGTACCAAGCCAAAGACAAGAATTTCACTGAGCTTAGGTAAACATGCGACAGTATTCCAGACAGAATTAGCAGCAATACATCACTGCGCAAAAGAGGTACTAATACATAAGGTAAATGGAAAAACCATTGTCATCTATTCAGACAGTCAAGCGACCTTAAAAGCACTCAGTTTCATGCAGGTACACTCTTTTGTGGGGCTGTTTGGAAGACCTAACAGAGCTGGGTAATCAAAACAGACATAAGGGCAACTAAGAGGCTTTATATCCTGAGAAGGAACCTCTTATCGGCCCAGAACCCTTTTGTAGTGTCACAAAGTCAGCTATTAGAACATGCACAAAGCAGTGGATATTTAAAAAAATTCAGAAATGGTGGAAAAATTCACCAGATCAGACAGGCCAAAGAACATCTAAAGTCTAAAGCCATATTAGGAAAAATGCTAGAATACTAGTAGGCCTATTAAAAGGGTATTGTAGGCTTAACAAACATATCGTCGCCCTCATCACGAAGTGGCATAAGTGACAAATAGTAAATTTTACAGCAATAAAACGAAAATACGTAATTCTCATATCGTTATGCGTTATTGCAGATAGAACACAGAAATAATATGCTGTATTGCATGCACTATTAAGGTTGTAGATGTGCCACTTCGTGAAGGTCAAGACTAGTTAATCCGCACAAAAAAAAAACATTTTTTTAATTTTTGTTGGTTAGGTCACTTCGTGATAAGGACGACGATATGTATAAAATCGGTCTTGGAGAAGAGACCTTGTGCCGATTATACCAGGAAGCGGAGAAAGCTTCAGTACACGTTTTTTGCTATCTATCAAGACTAAAATTCCTTACAGGAATTAGGTTTAGTTATCGAACTTTTTCCTGGAAAGGACCAGAAGGTTCGTCTGGTCAAGTTGAAGACTAGTTCTGGAATGACTTCGAAAGAATATTTGGAAAAAATTGATATTCAAGTGGGAGATATGGTGTTTCTAGAATCGGACCAGAAAAAACGAATGGATTGTTTATTAGGTTTAGTTATCAAACTTTTTCCTGGAAGGTATCAGAAGGTTCGTCTGGTTAAGTTGAAGACAAGTTCTGGAATGATATTAAGACCAATCCAACGATTACATCCAATAGAGCTGAAGGCTGAAGAGGAAAAACAGGAGCAGAAATCTAATGAAAGTTTCGATCCTGTGAAACTAAAGTCCACTTGTTGTACGTAGTTGGACAAGATACAGAAGAGAAACATGAAGAAAGAAGAAATGTGCTTGAAGAGAGACGAGAGTTAGAACTGGCGACAATTAGAAGCAGATACGGAAGAGAAAGTAAACCTCCCAAATGATTCTAGCCATTTAATTGATTGAGTCATCAAAGAAAACTCAAGGTGGGTGTGTTAAAAATGGACTAGCAAATGGTTTTAATTTTATTATTGTTTTTAAATGATTATTTTTTGTTTTATCACCATGTATATAAAAAATTTCAATTTCAGTAAAAAATGTAATTGTCAAGGATTTATTTTAACGTCTCAAAGTAAAAGTATCAAGTTATTTCCAACCCTTAAGCTACCATTTGGGAACGCGCGACAGAGGGAGACGACAGGCAGTAAATGGCAAATTCTAGAATTCTACCATACTAAAAGTGGTGTCGTCTGTCACGTCTTTCCAAATTTATTTTATATAATTACATGTGTTCAGACGTTTTCGGTCTCCTTCGCTGTCGCTACGCGTTTGAAGTCGGTCTCGGTCTCGCCTTCCCAAATGGTAGCTTTAGGGAGACATTCTTATAATGTCATCTACTGGTACACTTCTTACGCAAATATTATTTTTTTATATTATTTTTATTTAAATAATTCAAAAATCAAAATAAAAAAAATTGACAAATTTTCCAATTTATAGTATAAAATCCCACTTCAACCATATACATTTATTCACTGCAGCAAAAGTTCGAGGTCGAACCCCTCAGACGCTTCACTAATTGAAAAATTATGTCGTGAATGTGTATTAGGTACCACGACATAAAATCTAAAAATACGTAAAGTATTAGTTATGTTATTATTTCCAAAAAATACATTCATTAATATAATTACAAATAAAAAAATGATGTTCAGAAGTCGTACTAAAAAGCATATATTGATGACTAAAGGACATGTTTAAAAAGCGCAGTCTCTCATCCTTAGTCCGACCCTGATTACTACAACTCTGGGTAAACAAACTACATAAATGAAGAATAATAAATAATAATAATATCAAAATAATAATTACCTTTATAAAAACAATTTTCCAGTCCATAATTATAAATTTTTTTATTTGAACGTAATTTTGATGTTGTAAAAATAAATTAACTGTTAATGTTTATATAATAAAATTGTATACATATTAGTAGGTACTTTCACTTACGTTTTTGTTTTATTGGTAAATCCACTAAATATAGGTAGTCGGCAGGTAAGAAACTGGTTTTGAAAACTATATCGCTTCAAAAACAATTTGAAAAGAACAGGAATTTGGCGATTATTCCATCTGTTTAATAATACTCATAGAAAATTTGTTTATTTGTTAAGTTAGGTCTTCCATGGTAAACAGAGATATGAACGGATTTTTATTGTATATTTTAATTCTATTCCGTACATGAGATAATTATTAAACGAGATAATAGCAATAAAACTTGTTTGACCTTTATTAAATTTTATTCAAAAGACAGGATCGGTTTTGCACATTTATGCAGGTAAGACGTTCAGAGAAGTAGATTGTTCTCTAATTTTAAGAGGGCTCGCTGATTTTTTAGCAATAGTTGAAAATTGTACTTGTAGGTGGACAAAAGATATACAGCGTGGTTCGAATTTAATTTGCGTATACAGAGATCACATTAACAGCGGTTAAATGGATCAGATAACCATATTCCACACCACAATACGTCATGCGCGAACTCAACGACATTTCGTCGGCTAAGTATCATACCTCTGTTTTTTCTGTGTATCATGGATTCCAGAGAATTCTGCCGGGCACTATTTTGTGGCGGGGAGACCAACGTACACGACAGTATTGCCGGATTTCGCGTAGCGTTGCGTGTGGCAACGCGGCGGTTTTAAATACACGCTTCGTATTTAAAATTGTTCTTGGCATAATTTTCATAAATAACTTAAATTTAAATATTATAGTCGATAAAACTGCAGATATAACTTACACTGTAGTAGGTACTAGTATCCACATTTATTACTAAAATGGAAATACATTTGGATTAAACAAAGTAAAAATAAAATATTTTAGATTTATTAGTTTGTAAATATAAAACTGTAATGTAAATTAAAAAACGGATTTGGAGAAATAGGAAATTTTATATAAATCTCATTTTATTGTTTGAATCGCTTTCTTACCTGGTCAGTAATAAGTAAATTTTTTTGTCATTATTGTTATTTTAAAAAATATCATAAAAATACAATGCCTAATAACTAGATATTTTAAAAATATTAAAAAGAATATACAATTTCTTAATTTAAATCCATTCTGTTTTTGCGAGTTTAATTTTGAAGATAAATTGGAAAACTAACAATTTTTGAGCAGTTTTTCAAAAAATTGTCACAGAAAAAGTAAACAAAACGAACGTATTATATATTTATAAAAACATGCTTTAAAATACTTACCAAGTTGATACGTTTTTAGTTAACGCCTAGTCTCTATCTGAAACGACTGTGACAGACGGACAGACAAAAAGACACCAAAAATTATACGTATATAAATTTATGTTTGAAACTCTTAGTATAGATGCTTAAACCGGACCTGCATCAAAATTAAATTGACTCATTTTAGAATCGGAATAATTAATTTTAAAATATGTATTTTTTGCAACGTATAAGAACTGAAAATTTGAAAAAAGCCTAATAAAAATCTACTAAGCAATTTAAACAGGCTTAGCAAATTTGACATCAGATTATAACCGGTGATATTAGTAGATAGTAATGATGAAGTAGCAGAAGAATATAAAAATATCCTGAGTGGTTTCCGTTATATCTGTTTATGTTTATGTTTGGATAATTTTTTTGTTATAGCCGCTATCCTATATATTTTTAATCATATTTAGATGTAACAAAACAGATCATTGTCTCTTATTTTTAATAAGAAAAGAGCTAATAATCTATGATCACAGGTTACTTACGAATTTCTTAAAAGTTACTTGACAAACAGAGAACAAATTATTGATATCAAACATTTACGCATTGAGTTCCTCAGGGAACGGTCCTGGGGTCTAATTTTGTTTCTTCTCTATATAAATAGCATGCTTTCTTTTAATATTCCAGGCAAAATAATTATCTTTGCCGATACTGTATAGTAACTTAAACATCTATTGGCAAAGCCTGAAAATAAGACACAAACTGACTTTTCCAAGATCTCTACATGGGTTCAACATAATAAATTACTTCTAAATTATTCTAAAACAGTATATTTACACTTTGACTCTTATGTCACTGGTCTCTCAAACTTAAGCACTTTAAATATGTGCATGCATGAATATTAAAATCTTATAAAGCGAGAAAGTCAAATATCTTGGAATCACGAATCATGAAGTAGAGTGGGACAGTTAAAAAAATTAGATGTCACCAAAATTTAAATATTTTCGAGATTATCTGGACATAAAATTTAATATTTATAATTATTTAATTTTTCATTGGTTGAATCATTACTGTCTTATAATATTTTGGGATGGTAAGATTAAATAATTGTTTTATAAACAGTGTCCATGTCGTTCAAAAGTGGTGTACCTACGTATCCTAGAGAGTTTACAAAATGTTACAAATACTAAGTTATCTTACCTACAACTGCAAATTCCTTTCTTTAAATAACTGCTTTTCGAAAACTTTTAGATGGTCTTCGAAATCATCATACTTACTGTACTTGGCCTTTTTCCTCTAGTAGTAGTGATCGTCTAGCTAATTAATTGATAATTTATATACCCACGTTGTGATAATTTTAATTTAGATAAATCAGGATTTGATGCAAAGTTTGGTACAAATTTGTGAATGAATTAAAACTCAAATTATATTTAACATTTTTAATAATTTAATAATTCTTTGTTTCGTCGTTTTTTTTTTTATATAGGTGAGCTTACTGAGATACTTACAATAATAGACGGATATTCTTTATGTTTCACCCTTACCTAGGGGAGGTTTATGTAGTGTAGTCCTACTAGAATAGAGCCGGATCAATACCAGCGAACTACCCCTTATGTTCAGATATACCTACAGTGCGAAGATTGAGAGATAATTACTTAAGATAGTCCAACCCTGCAGTGACATCACGCATATTTGTGTAAGATGTGAGTCTAGTCGTCCGAAGTATCTTTTGCCCCAATCAGCTGAGCGGTTAATTTAGTAGCTATTAGCGAGGGTATATCGGCAAAATTCTTAAATAGTTTTAGGCTGTGACGTAATGAACAATACAGTTCTATAATAATGAATAATATAATAATAAACCTCTTTTAAATTATTGACTCACCATCTATTTATGACGTTTTTATATTGTTGTTGATAGGTTGAAGTGTTGCTGATTTGGAAATATTGAAGGGGTATCGAGACGTATAGCACCAGGACGTTGGGTGTCCGAATGTAGAGGGCAGTGCGTAGAGAGAGCGTCGGGACACAGAGTGTCGTATAAGAAAGGGCATCGTGACGAGTAAGGTAGGGAAGTAGGATCACGAGCGTTGAATGGGATCGGGACGTAGAGCGTCGGATAAAATAAATGTTACGTCTGGACATTGAAACGTGTCAACGTTCGGGAGATAGGTCGTTGATATGAGGTAGGATAGGAACTGCGTCAATTTAGGAAAGGTACTGAATACTGAACTTGAAAATATACCAGATTTGAAGAGTAATGAATGACTGGAGTTTGAAATCATCTGAACTGAGTTTGATTTCTTAATAAATCTCGACTCCTTTCGGGATCGGGTCTTTATACCCGATTTAATTACTTTTTGTGACGTCAACTTGTCCTAACTCCGATGAGAAGTAATTTGGGTGGATAGAAAAGGGGTGGTCGATTTATTACTTGAAAAATTTGTGTGTCGAAACAATGTTACTATTCAAAACTGACTTAAGATAAGTGCGTTTAATGTTTCAATGATTATTACTTCGTGACAAAATTTATGTTGTATGGTGGTTTCGGGTTGGGTTCGAAGACACTTGCAGGAAAATTGAATCTCTTACAGACAGGGTTATATACATTATTTATTAGATGTCGTAAATAAGATTTATCTGGGATTTTTCGTTAAATGAAGGATTTAGAGTTTATTATGAATGCATTATTTTCTTTAATAAATTGAATTAATAAATTGTGAAGGTACATGGGTACAGTAGGTTACAGGGTGTTCCTTTAAGAATGGGACATAGAACAACTAAAAACTCTCTGATTAAAAATACGATGATTAAATGAAACATGCTTAGGTAAAATGTTACTTGTTTCTAAAATACAGGGTGTTAAAGTTGAAAATTCATAAAAAGTTGATGGCTATAATATTTTAAGTACTCTGTATGATTTTACTAAATTCGGTAAACGTTCTTGATGTCATAAGATTATATTTAATTATGACTGTGGGCCATGTGGCCTCCCAACCTCGACTTTTTTAGATCTATTGTGAATATGTCATAAGATACACCTATTAGCTAAGAAATAAACTTTTTCATTGGCGTAACACCTTCATCCTCTCCAAGTTTTACAATACTGCCCAAAAACTTATTTTAAAATTTTTTCATAAATAAATATTTCCTTATTTCAATGATATTTAGAACATAATTTCTATGTTGAACATAAAGGTGTTAAGTCGTCGGTTACAGATGTCACATTTGGAGTGCCTCAAGGATCCGTTTTGGGACCTTTGTTCTTTAATGTGTTTATTAATGACATAACTCAAAAATTACAGAGTAAAACACGCTATTGCTTTACAATGCCATTTGGAAATTGTTTCTAACTGGTGCGAGGGTAATTTCTTGAAATTATATGTAAATAAGTGTTCCATTTTGAGTTTTTCCCGAAAAGACTTTTCGTACTATTTCGACTCCAAAATTAATAACTGTAAAGTGCCGAGAGTTGATATTTAGGTGTGACCTTTGACCGACAGCTCTCGTTTAATGTTCACATTGAAAACACAATCCTTTCAACATGATTTCTGATATTTTGGCATATCTGAAATCGGTTCTCCAATAGTCTAATTATGATGGCATATCTATTATTCCCATCCAAATCTATGGCTAGAAAGTCCCTGACATCGTTATTAGTAATATTGATAGACTTTCTTGTTTTTTGAACACTATACAAATTAGTATTTTCGACAATAAGTGTAAATAAGTCTTCGGAAAAAAACATTTTGAAATAATCTATTGGCGATTTTATTTCTTCTGGAACTGAAAAGTTATTCTCCGATATATTTACGGGATATTCAAATTCTTCTTTGGACCAAATATACTCAACGAGTTTTTCTTTTTTCTTCTTTTTGTTTTAGTTTTTTTCTGCTTTTTCAATGGCTGGACAAAACTCTTTGTTTTGATCTTGTCTTCAAGAGACTGAATACTGATTCTGGCTAAGT